GTCGGTGAATATAATCTCCGCTACAATGTAGTAATGATTCACACACACCGGGATGTATAGATGAGTACAACCCTTCCATGGTCTTCCCTCGACACTGAGCCACATCCCTACGACCCACTCCATCATGTGTGTAGGCATCGTGTACTCGCTATCAATAGCTTGAAGCGTCTGGTACTCAATGTCAACGGAATGTATGAACTTAGTATTCAATATGAGTCGGCCAGAAATGTTGAACGATCTTGAATGTCTTTCAGCTCGATCTTGTAGCAAATCCATGGCGAAGTCAACTAGCTGCATCAAGAAACACCAATTAAAAAAGAAGTTATTTAATTTCATAAATTCAAAACTCAAAAATATGTATACGTAATAAATAACAATATTACTACTTCACTTACATCGTCGGCGAGCCAAGCCCCCGAAGTGGTGATGTTGTGAAACCACTTAAGCGTCCGAGATCGTCTTATGAGCAATACTGCGGCTGGCTATGAAAAATAAGAAAAGAAATTGTTAAGTAAAAGTATAGATGTGTCGGCGCCTGCGTAATGTACTAATCCTTAACGAATAATACAATACTTACCCGGGCGTAATTGCTCTCCACTCCATCTTGAATGCTTTCCACTTGGCGTGGTTCACCTCCCTGAATAAATTGGGGTGCGTACCGTCGACGAACCACCTCCTCTTCGCCTCCGCAATAAACAGAGAAATGATGTACTGTGATGGTGCCCTCGGCCTCTTGCCAATCACCAGCTCCGGCACATCAACAGTACGCGAAACCCTCCCAATCTCCATCTCCATCGAGCCACTGAGATATGAAGCTAATGCATCATTCGATACCCACAACGAGTCAACATACCCTATCTGACCCCTTCGGCCCTGATAACCACCGGTCCCTCCATCATCCCCTCCGTCCCAATAGCCGTCTGTCCCTTCGTCACCCCCTCCGTCCCGATAACCTCATGTCCCTTCGTCACCCCCTCCATCCCGATACTCATCAGTCCCACCTTGATACCTACCAATCCCACGTAGACCTGTATTGTCATCCCGTATCGCTATGACCTTAGCATAAAGGTCTCCTAAATCGACTTGTAGCATCTCGACATCACGTCGTAAGTCAGCTACTTTTCCTCGTAAGTCAGCTACATCGCCTCTAATCTCCATCATAAGTCGGAACATATCATCGATGGAAGCACTATGACTACATACAGCAGATCCACGTGGAAGGTGTCCGGACGCAGGAGACAGTGATCTCATGTAGAGAGGTGACACTCTCGATGAAGGTGATCTCATGTAGGGAGGTGACATCCTCAGCGGAGGCAACATCATCGAGGAATGTGACACCCTTGGCGGAGGCGACATCCTTAGGGAATGTGACACCCTTGACGAAAGTGATAATCAACGCGCTCCTAAAAAAATAAACATTACAAATGAATAACTTAATTTAAAAATTATAACGATAATCAACAGATTATATTCAATTAATATACCGTGTCCTGATCGACGATGGACTTAGGCCTCTCTCGAGCAGCACGATCTGTTAACAACTTACGGATATAAGTCTGATCCTCCTCCTCGATCGATGGTGTCAGCTCAGTGAGGACTTCAAGTTGACATATCCTCAAATTACTGACCAAGTATCGAGATTTCGAAAATGATATACAACAGAAAATGCAAATGTATAATACGTACCTCAAGATTGTCGAGGATAGCTGATAACTATTTTGCAAAGGGCTTATCATGTGCTCGCGAGCGGTGCATCCGAGGGATGCATGTATCCCCTCTCCTCGCATACCGACCAGCTAGGATGGGAACAGTCTCGTAGACCCATATATGCAACAATTACGATTATTATATGTACAATTTAATAAAAAAAAATTAGATAACTCATTATGTTAAACATTTATCTACAAAGCTAACTGCATGCCATATATATCGTACTTATGCTTTGCCTATCTCTTCTAGGCATCGAATGCCCCCTCCTGAAGACCCGTAAATGATCGACAAAGCATCTCCGCGCCCCATGGATAGCTGTTGAACGTATCGATATCATCAACAACTTACAAATGAAAACGTCAATCGACGTCTTCCTTTGATGACACCTCAGTACGTTCTCGAGTATAAACACTATCCCCAACTTCAACTTGTCGGACATCTGGTCGCATCCCATGAATGCATCTCCTAACTGCGCCACTGTCACTGTCACTGTCGTGTGCCCATTAAAATAATCATTCAGCAGCCTCTTGTCTGTCGGAATACTGGCCCTCGCTGCTTCTTCGCCCGTATAACTCAATCCAGTGACGTAGGGCAAATTCGAATATGAAAAATGTAGCAACCTTGCCCCAAGATCAAAGTGGAGGGCATCTCCGTCAACTGGTTTAGGCAGTCGACATAGTAATGAATCGATCAACTGTCCAGAAAACTGTACAGAGCGCAGCGAATATAGGGCCATAGGCAGGATCGATGTAATATCTCCGTGTGCTCCTTGTCCAATGAATCCAACACTGCTGTGAAGACGTAACCTTGTCAGGAACCTGTCTCAAGGCAGCTTCCAAATGGTAATATATCCTACAAAATTTCAAAATGTTAGAACACTTGAAACATAAAGTCACAAAATTCAACTAACCGAATTGTAAGTAATTTACGCACGAAATAACAGATAATAAAGAAAATGAATTAAAAATTAGACGACAAATTATAAAAAGCGAAAAACTAATATTTGTAAAATTATTTATTTCATAGTTTATTTTAATCCTTGTTAGAAATTTATTTCAATTCTTTATTTAATTAATTTTGATTATTTATATTTAATTACTTATTTAAATAAATTATTTTGAATAGTTATATTTCTTAGTTATTTAAATTATTTATTTTTATTTAAGTTTTCATTATTTATTTCAATTGTTAATTTCAATTTTTTATTTCAATTGTTTATTTGTTTATTTAACATTTATTTTAATTGTTTATTGAATACTTAATTTTAATTATTTATTATAATTGTTTATTTAATTATTTTTATTAAATTATTTATTGAACATTTAAACGTAAATATGTAATTATTTGTTATATTTTTCTTTAGTTGTTTATTCAATATTTATTTTAATAATTAATTGAATATTTGATTATTTATTTTAAATGTTAGATATTTATTTCAATTGTTTATCTACATTTTAATTACTTACTTTGATTATTTTTATTTGTTTATTAAGTAAAATAAAATTATTGTTTGATTGAAATTGTTTATTTTATATTTAATTACTAATTTTGACTATTTATTTTTAATTACTTATTTAAATAAATTATTTTGAATATTTATATTTCTTAGTTATTTAAATTGCTTATTTTTATTTAAATGTTCATTATTTATTTCAATTGTTAATTTAAGTTATTTATTTAAATTATTTATTTGTTTATTTAACATTTATTTTAATCATTTATTGAATGCTTAATTTTAATTATTTATTATGATTTTTTATTCAATTAAATTTTAATTACATATATCGATTATTAATATTTGTTCATTATTTACATTTCTTTATCATTTAAATAATCATTTAATTATTTTTTAAATATTCATTATTTATTTTTGTGTATTTAAATTAATTAATTAATTATTTTTTTATTCCAATTATTTTTCATTTATTTGGTTCAATTGTTCATTTAAATTATTTGATTTAATTATTTATATTTATTGATTATTTAAATTATTTATTGAACAAGTAAACGTAAATATTTAATTATTTATTTTAAATGTTACAAATTTATATTAATTAAATTTTAATTACATATTTTGATTATTAATATTTATTCATTAGTTACATTATTTGTATATTTTAAATAATCATTTAATTATTATTTAAATGTTCATTATTCATTTTCCTGCTTTTAAATTAATTAATTATTCATTTTTATTTCAATTATTTATTTTAATTGTTTATTTAAATTAATTAATTATATTTATTGATTATTTAAATTATTTATAGGACAAGTAAACGTAAATATTTAATTATTTATTTTAAATATTAGAAATTTATTTCAATTAAATTTTAATCACATACTTTGATTATTAACATTTATTCATTATTTACATTTTTTATTTATCATTTAATTATTATTTAAATGTTCATTATTTATTTTTGTGTATTTAAGTTAATTATTTATTCATTTTTTTATTTCAATTGTTTTTTGTTTATTTGTTTCAATTGCTCATTTAAATTATTTGATTTAATTATTTATATTCATTGATTATTTAAATTATTTATTGAACAAGTAAATGTAAATATTTAATTATTTATTTTAAATGTTAGAAAGTTATTTCAATTAAATTTTAATTACATATTTTGATTATTAATTTATTATTTAAATGTTCATTATTTATTTTTTTGTATTTAAATTATTTATTCAAATACAACGAAAAAAAATGAGGAAAAGGAAACGGGTTGTGGCTGGGCGAGACGGCCCAGAGTCTTTTCTAGACGATCGTTGGAACGTCTGTTTGCAGACAGCTCCAGACAGCCCAGAACAATTTGTCACTCTTCTCCGACTTCAAGTGTCGGAGATCACCATTTCCGGTGATCTCTAATCCAAAAATACCTCTAAAAATGTCATTTTCAGTAATTTCACATAATCTACAAAAATTTCTACTATTATTTGGAATAAAATAAACCTTTAACATCCAAGTTCAAAGGTTAATATGGGAAAAATAAGTAATAATCAGAGGAAGGGTTGGAGCAGCTTGGTGATATAATAACCATGGAGGAGGGTCCCTTTAGGGAAGGAGTAAAAGCCATGTGGGAACCTGGGAACCAACAAGGGCACAACCTGCGATTTACCTCCACTAGTCACTGAGGGGCCGGGGGCTAGAGGTCCAGGATTTAGTCCGGCTAAGCTGGGACACCTGGGTTATCAAAAAAAAAAAAAAATAATAATATGGGAAAAATAAGTAAAAAATTACCTTTTTCGCCTCTAATGGTGGCCATTCGATCTTCTTCTAAGAAAAAATGTCGATTTCCATGTTATTTACTCCCCTTCTTTCTCTAATGTCGATTTGAAAGTGATTTCTTAGCAGCAATATTTGATTTTCATTCTTTTCAAGGTCTCTACAGATTTTTCATTTTTTTATTAAAAAAAGTAGTCAACGGCCTGGCTATCTGCCACCATTTCCTCCACTTCCATCTCCTACACGAATTTTCAGCAGGTGGCCTGAAATGGAACACCCTCCAACCCTAAACCCTAACCCGAATTTGGACCCGTATTTCAGCCATGGCTACATAGGATATTCCACAAAACATAACCCTAATTCCGATACTCTAAACCCACCCGTTTACACCGGTGTTGATACCCATAATACATTGGTTCAGCCGTACCCTCCTGGTGTTGATACTCCATATGTGCCGCAGCAAGGACACAGCTTTAACGCACAACAGCCTGTGGTCGCTGCTAATACTGCCATGCCTTATTATCAGGAACCTAATGCAGCCACCGTGCAGAATTGGGTGACCGCTATCTGGCAACTCGGGACAAGTCTTGGTGCAGCTGTACGTGGATTTATGTTCTCAATTATTATGATTTTGAATTCTTGATTTTCGATTTGTTGATTTAAGCCTAAATTTCATTTTGCTGAATTTTGATTAATGTTGTCAATAATATAGAGTCATAGACAGATTTATTTGCGTGTGAATCTTTGTGTTTGGTTATATGTTTGTGAATGTAGCCAAATTTGGTGTTTGTTGTAGTTCTTGTTTCCACTTCAGGAACATCTCGTGTCCGTAGATTTGGGAGTTTTAACTAATTCAGCCTTTTTAAAACATTAACACCGATTTCTTGAAGATAATGGATTTGAAATACGTATTGTTGAAGATGATTTTACAGAATTTTGAATCAAAGTAACTGTTTTCCAACCATTGGTTATCTGTCTGTCAACTGATTGCTCTCTGCTAATCAAATGCTATGACATTGTATTCAAAATTATTGTTGGCTTTCGCCAGTCTTAGCATCCTTCTTCATGGTCCTTCGAAGTGTGAGTTTATTAATGACGAGGTTTGATTACACAGCATAACCGATGAAAGAAACTATAGAACGTGAATGTATTGAATAAATAGAGCTTTTTTAGCAAATTGAATTTTGAAACTTTAGGTTATAATGTTGAATCGATCATTCTGTCAAATATGGAAAACAATATATGCTATATGAGAATCACATGTGCACAAAAATCTTTTTTTTTTTTTCGGGATATATCCAAAATTGCTCAAGAATCATGATTTGCCTCAATCATGAGCTAGATTCTATTTATCTCTTTGTATATCATTGCATTTTTAAATCGTTCTATAATAGTTCAGTACCTTTATTGGGGAGATGGGGGTAGTATCAAACACATCTTGTCCCAAAAATAAATAATAAGTTCCTTTGATCACTGCAGGATGCAACGGTACCGTCCAGTGATGTACAAAATTCGATTCCTGCTAATACAACTTCTGCATTTTGGACTAATTCAGCAGTTCAATCTCAGAGAAATGCTTATTGGAAAAGGACCCCAAAGAAGACGAAGGTTGTACAATCTGCATGGTGTGAAGTTTGCAAGATTGAATGCAACAGCAAGGATGTTCTTGACCAACATAAATTGGGAAAGAAACACAAGAAAAATATGGAAAAATTAAATGGCATAACTAGCACATTTGTTGCTGCATCATCGTTAATTGGACCACAAGAGAAACAGAACAAAGAAAAAGCTACCGGTGGACAAAAAGGACAGAAAAGGACAGCACATCAAACAGAGGATTTGGAGACAAAAAGAAGAAAAGTTCTGGAAGGAGGGGCAGCGGCTGATGCTGTGCGTGTATGTGTCTTCTGTAATGTGGTTTGCAACAGTGAGATGGTGTTCAGCCATCACCTTGCTGGCCAAAAACACGCTTCTATGGTGAAGAAGCATGCAGTTGCTGGTGCTATGTGAAACGTGAATTGGCATATATTTTGAGTCAAATGTATATTACTTGTTTTCCTTTAGGTTTTAGTACTTTGAACTGCGTTTCAATTTTATAATTTAATACAAGAATGGAATTTTGCCTAGTAATTAATTTGTTAACATTGTTACTTTGCTCTTTTGGATCATTCGGTTGTGCACGTTTCTAGTTTTGGGATGCATCCATTTTCCTTTCACAGGTTTATGATGCTCTACTTCTAGAGAGGTCAAGAGATTGGTAGTGATTGAGGATGAACCAGGTCAGTACTCTTGCCAGTATTCTGCTGCTTATCTGGCTTCTTCTTGATCTAACCCTTTCAGTTTTTCTACTGGAATTCAGTATTCTCTTGCTTTGGGAGCTTTTTTTGGCCAAGCCTTTTTCTAGTTTGCAGGCTGTAGAACAAAAATCATTAAGTACATACTTGGTTTTCTTTGGTTTTTTGCTGAAGTCATAGATTATGAGAAAATTGAATGCAAGGGTAGATAGCTCATTTTTTCGTTAGTGCAGAATGGCAGATGGTAGCATAATTTGATTAAATTAATACTCCAGAAAACAGTTATAGAAAGTGAAGAAATATTAGCAACATAGCAAGCGAAGGAGATTGAAGGGCACATATAGAACTTGAGTTTTAGTTTTTTTTTTTTTTTTTTTTTTTTTTTTTTTTTTTTTTTTTTTTTTTTTTTTTTTTGTGGAAAAAGAAAAAAACTCATACAAACCAATAAACTTAGCGTCTTATTTTAGTGATTAGTCACTTGCAATTTTACAAAAGGGAAAATTGCAGCAGCGGTCCCTAACCTTTTCAAATTTTGCACATTTTACTCTAACTTTCTTTTTGTGCCAACGAAGGTCCTTAATCTTTCATAAATATACAGTTGTAGTCCAAATGGAAAACCATTATTTGACCAATAAAAGTGGACTTCGACCAATTTTGACTAAATTGAAAGGGGTAAAAGGGTGAGCTTCAAATTAACACATTAAATAAATAAACAAAAAATAAAAAAATAAAATAAAAAATGGTTTCTCCTTCACCCTACCCATCCCCAGCATACCCTCCACAGCTAAAAATAAGCCACCAACATCGGTTGCCACCTTCGACACCACCACCACCGGTTATCTTTACCAATACTCACCCCACCCCTACCCATTATGCCCCAATTCTTACTAGTAAAATCTGGCTAGGTGTTGACAACAAAACCAAATTGCAATAAGAAGTGAAATCTGCATAAGAAGCTCATCTATCGACATTAATAAGTAAATGTTTGTTCGTTTTGACTACTTGTTCTTATTTATTTTGTGAAATTTTGGTTCTTTCATGATATCTGCGAGTTTAATGGCTGTGGGAGAATACTGTGAAGTTTATTCTAATTTTCAAGAAGCTAGCATTAAACCATTCCTGTAGTACATAGAACAAAACAAAACAAATCCAATTATACTCCTATGTTGATACCAAATAAAAAAAAATCCTAACACTCAGAATGTAAGAAATTAAGAATTTGCCGATTCACTCCAAATAATGGAAGGACGTCTCAAATTTTATTACATTTAAGAAGCATCACTCAAAAAGCCACAATTACAACTTATGTCCTTGATAGCTTATCAAACTAATTAATAAGTCTTAACTTATAAAACCAACATTAAATAAAAAATAAAAACCACAAAAACAGAAAATACAATAAACCGTCCAATTGCAACATTGACTATGCCCAATGAATCATTATCTCTTACATCGAGCATATATAACATGAAAAATATATATTCCTCCTCGGGAGAATTTCCTCGTAGGCCCTTTTTACAAAAAAGCAAATATGCATCCTCAATTCTCGATGGGCAGGGAAGCCTTACTCCAATTCGGGGCGAGGCGGTTGTCATCCCTACGATTATTTCAACCCATATAGTGTTTCCTCTTATCAGGTCAAATAAATTTCATCTTTCAATCTATCATTAAAAATGTGGCCTTCGCGTCAAGTTGAACTAGTTTAATATCAAATTTGGCTGCCGAGGCCCAATGAAATTCAAGGGACGACTGCTTTTAAATGTTATTTCAAAGGTAGTTTACTTGTTCTCCAAAACAAGTTCATATAAGTTTTATTGAGTCATATTAAAATTGATTTTGATTCATTAGTTTAAATTGTAATCTAAATCATTTTTAACTAAGCACTTGTTTGGGCCTGATTTTCCAGGCCAAAAAATAAAATTTTGACAGTTACTTATCCCTTTTCATCTGTCTTTTTTTGACTCCACTCTCACATACAGGGGCCCACATTCCGAGTTACCGGCTCTTTTTTTCTTTTAATCCTTTGAAGAATCAGCTCTAAATAGGTGCTAAATAATTAGAGTTCAAGTTGATTATGAAGACATGATTGTGCTTTATAATTCACCTTGTTAAACAAGTTATAAAAGTATATTACCTGAAAAATAAAAAATAATACAGGCTCGAGAAATGTAATTCTTGATCAGTATATGAACTATCTGTTTCGATTAAAAATTGCTAGTATGTAACGATTTAATTTTTGTTCAGTAACTGATTTTACTATGATGTTTAGTATTATGCACAGTTTGTCTTGAAATATATATAATATTGGGATCTGCATTTTCCAAATCATTGTTGTGAGCTTGTGCTCCTAGGAAACAAAGAAATGTGGTGAACTTTCTCACAGTTTCACACTAAAGTACCTATAAAACTTATTCATAGATAAAACTAATTGTTTCCATCATTATTGAACTGACAAATCTTTCAGTCACCAGTCACTCAAGATAATTCAGATCACATTTCTTGAAACCTTAGAGATTTTCTACAGATTTTTCACCATATTTTCTTTCACAACTCTTCTCATTATCTTCCCAGAAGGTGATTTTGGAATAGTGTCCACAAATTGTAGCATTCTAATTCTTTTATAGGTGGCGACATTAGATGCTACGAAGTTCATAATATCTTCTTCACTTTCTTTTTCTTTCGAGCTTATGACGACGCATGCTGCTGGTATTTCCCCTGCTTCTTTGTCTGGTAACCTGCAAAATGTAGTCCTTTTTCAGTGACATTAGTTCTTATGGTAAGTTGGTAATCAAGGTTCGTAATGGATAATACCCTACGACAGCCGCGTCTTCAACTGAATGGTGAGATAGAAGGATTGCCTCTAATTCAGCTGGAGCAACCTGTCAATTTTATGTAAGTGACTGCTCAAGATTTTTAGTTTTTTACTATGTTTTCTATGGCTGGACATGGTTCGGTTCGGTTCTAACGAGATCCGAACCGACCCGAAATTTTCGGGTATTTAGTAAGTGAAACCGTCGGGTCTAAATTTAATTACGGAACCGTTCGGGTTCGGTTCCATTCGGTCCAATTCGGTTCCGTATGATAATTAAATTTTTTAATATATACAAAGTTACGTTAATTTAATTAATGATATGTTCAATATTAGCTCTTACAAAATAACGTAGTTCAATATTATGTGTTTCACGTTTCTCTTTGCTGAATTCTTCATAAATTTGATTATTAAAATCACAGAAAGAGAAAGATAGCGAGCTCAAAACAATTAAGAGAGATGTTGTAGAGTTTTAATTCGATTTTCTCCGGTAGAAACGACACTACAGTAGAATAACAGATTTGGATAAAATTGAGGTCAATTTAATTAAGTTGATTTTGAACTGAAAATTAGAAATAGGAAAATCATATTTTGTGGTTTGAACTAAATTAACTAGTTAACAAATTTATTTAGAAAAAATAAAATAATTTTACTTATTTAAAATAAATTAATTAAAAAAATTACGGAGATTCGGTTCTTATTCGATTTTTCGGGTCTTGGCCTAAAACCGAGAACCAAACCATACTCGTCAGTTCTTGATTCAAATACCCGTTCGGGTATTTAACTTGAGAAGAACTGTCGGGTTTGGTTCGGTCGGTTTGATTTAGGAGTTTTGTCCAGCCCTAATGTTTTCATACTCAAGGCAAGCTTATTTGTTTTAATTGCAAATGATTGATCAAAAGGTCAATCTCTTTATTGATTTCAATGAGCTTTCGGCCAGAGTTATTTGGCCATTTTATGATACCTGGAATCCTTTATATTTGATCAATTCTTTGATGCGATCCACAAGAAAAACATCTCCATCATCATCAATGTAGCCAATGTCCCCCGTGTGGAGCCACCCTTCTTTGTCTATAGTGAGAGCAGTCTCATAATCATTCTTATAGTAACCTGGAAAAATTTGCATAAAACCCTGAGTTGGGATCACTTATAAAAATCAAAGAAATAGTAATAAATTGTAGTGGTTGGCTTATACCTTTCATCACACACTGACTTCTAACACAGATTTCACCTGGGCTGTTCTTGGGAAGAGACCGACCCATCTCAGGATCGATAAATTTCACTTCCAGATTTGGAAGTATAAATCCTACTGAGTTTCTCTTTGCAATTCCATGGCCTTTATTTGGATTGCCATGTGTTAGTGTAATGCAGCTGTGCTCTGTCATTCCGTATGCCTGGTAGTGAATCATAAATGAAGTCAAAGAACTGTTTCTTATAAATTTTGTGTCTGGTTTCATTGAATGTGAGCAGCAAAAACTGTGTATTACCTCTTGTACCTGAACGCCTGGAAATTTTTTCTCAAATTCTGTAAGGATTTCAGGAGCAAGCGGAGCTGCTGCCGTCATGACAGACCTGAGCTTGAGTTTACGAAGATCAAATTCATCGACTATGGGGTTCTTAACCAAAACCAAAATGATGGGTGGGACAATTGGTGCAAATGTGATCTGGTGCGTGATCAATGCGCTCACAAATGCCCGAAGTTCATATCTCCGCATCACCACCACTTTCCCCTTGTTTCTAATAGTAGCACAACATATTCCAGTAAGTCCGTAGATGTGAAAAAATGGTATTAGACCAAGTATAGTAACCTGTCCTATTAATTCTGGACCTACACTGAAGAGCGAAGAACAGAGATTGGCCACTAAGTTCCTGTGAGTTAGCATAACACCCTTGGATAGGCCAGTCGTGCCTGATGAAAATGGTAGAGCGCACAGATCATTTTGATGCACTTTTTCTTCGATGATACCAGTATTTGCTCTATCTGCAGCTTCTAGCAGTTCATCCCAATATATAGTTCCCTCTATGCGATCATCGCCTTGTATTATAACTGGCAGTCCCAAATCTTTAACCTGTTGCACCAGTTACAAAATTCAGATTGTACATTATAATAGTGGTAAAAATCAGTGTTCTAAAAGGCCTGCCTAGGCTCATGCCTTTTTGTTTGGCAAGTGATTTTCTTGTTTTGAAGTCAAGTGTAACAAAATACTCTACTGCTATAGCTTAAAATGGAAATAAGTCCAACAAAACACTCACCCTAGCCCAAACCCATCCCATGAACCTAGTTTTCTTGTCCATGAACAAAACATTATTGATTTGTGGTCTTTATAATTTCAAAAATTATGTCCCCTTTTTTTTTTTGTTGGGAAACTTGAAAAATCTGTATGAACTTTCTATAAAATTTCAAGGTATGTGTTATTTTATTTAATTATTGGTTTAGAACATTTAAAATTATATTAACATAACAAAAAAATAAAAAAACCACTTATTATGCCTAGGCTTGTAAGGATTGAGGCTAGACCTCCACGTCTTATTCCTTTAAGAACACGAGGAAAAAATAATTCTTGCTTTTCATATTATTTCATGCTAATTCTTGTGTTTTACCTTGTCATAGGTTGATCCATCGGTGACAATTATCTTTGCATCTGCAGTCTCAACTTGTTTCTTGATTTCTGATGAATGTGCATTCGGATTTGCACCTGAAAATACACCACAGGCAGCCATGATTCCGAGTGCAATGATAGCATATTCAGCAACATTTGGGAGTACAACCACCACGACGCGTCCTTTCCTCAGCCCAAGTGATCTCAAGGCATTAGCGAACCTCTTCACATCTCTAGTTACTTCTCCATAATTATATTCTTTCCCAGTTAGTTCATCGACAAATGCCACCTTATCTAGATATGGCTCTGCATTTGAAAGCACAAATTCTGGCAGTGTTAGATCTTCAGGAACTTGAACAGGAGGATAGTTGCTGCGGAAAATTATTTCATCTTGCATGATGCTTTGAGCCCCACTTTCCATGGTTCGACTAAATAAATTGAATAAATATTGATTTACCTAAGCTTTATAGGAGATGGGATTATCATGGTAAAAACATGGACAGAGATTGGTAAGATTTAGGTGGAAGGCAGAGGTGAACTTTTGATGGGCTTTGACAGAGGTGAAAATTTGTTGAGTCATGTTGCAGTGTGGGGTAGGGGTTGGGTAGTTCACATTGTTTTGTACTTTTGTTAGTTATTGAAAAAAAAGGTTGAACCATAAACTTGAGGACCTCACCGTCCCGTCTTTAGAGCTTTGTGAGGGAGGTAAATCGCATGATGTCTCCCAGCAGGCAGGGAACAAGAGCTGTCTGTACACTGCGTCTACAAGGAGTCCAATTTCATGTCTCAAGAATCGAACCCCCACACCGCGACTGCCAGTAAGACGTGAAATAACCTCATTCATGTTCTTTGCATCACGGGACTATGTCCCGGGGGACATACTTTTGTTAGTTACTAGATTCAACGTAGAATACAAACATTATTACCGAGGAACATTTGCGAGAGTTGCACATTTGTGTCATATAAAAGATTAGCTGCAAGATTTTGATCTCTTTGTTATGTGGGAAAATTAGGACTTATTAAGCCTTGTTTGTCCCTCATTTTCTGTTATTGATTTTTCCTTAAGCTCATTTCCTATTATATGTTTTATGAGACCAATAATTTTTATAAAAATTTACTAAAAAATTATTTTTATCTACATCAAACAGGGGTTATAAGTTGACAAGAAATCATAGTTCAAACAAACTTCTTATGCTAGCAGCCAGCTGTAGCGTGTCTGCTTAGTTATTCCACATATGGTTTGCTACAGAAGGACCGACACCATTTAGCTCATACATGGACATAGATATCGTCACCTTCGTACTGAATACAGTCCTTGGGTCCATTTTGTACCGCTACGGTAGAAGGCTCTTTCATGTTATGCGTCCAGACCAACTATGCCTGCCTGAGTCGTATCAAAACCTTCTTCTTTGGAGTGAAAACTGAAGCCTTCAAAGGAACAATCAAAGGACTCGAATTCGCCCCCCAGGGCACTTCTCCACTGGCAAAGGACGGACGCTGTCAAACCTGGCAGAGCAGAGGTCGTGAGTTCGAAACATGGGGCTCTTGGAAGGCAAGGATTTATTCTTGGAAGGCAAGGGAGCATTTGGAAGGCAAGGATTTATTCTTGGAAGGCAAGTGGGAACTTGGAAGGCAATGATTATTCTTGGAAGACAAGGTACAACTTGGATTGGCTTGCTTGGCACTTTGTCAGACCAGGTGGGGAGCGCTCGGACCCTGGCTAGTTGGAGGCACATCCTGCGATTAACCGGACTGTGTGAAGAGGGGCCGGATCACAGACCCAAGGATTAGTCTAGAATAGGACACCTTGTAAAAAAAAAAAAAAAAAGGACTCGAATTCTGTGAAGCACAAGATTAACGAAATTTTTTAGCAACTCTTCATTTCGCGTAATTAGATTCCACGTTAGTTTCTACTTATATTTCCGCTCGGCTCATTACCATTTTCTACTTGTGTATTCTTTCTTCGCAATAATGATCTGATTTAGAAGTAAATTTCTAATAATTGAAAATGGGTAACTACTCCATTACCTTGCTATAAACCTATGTAATGTCTTTAGTCTCCCGTTTTCACTTCAGTCTCCTTCTCAGGAAAAAAATGAAGAGTCACATTTGATATTGACGAAATTATCAAATTTCTGATAAATTGAAATTGTACATGCAAATTTCCTACAAACAGAGAGTAGGTATTGTTTTTATTTTATTTTTATTGAAGAAATTATAATTTAATTATATCTCATCACATTATGGACATCATATAGAATTTTCCAAACTATTACGTATGTGTAGCACAATTATTTTCAATTGAAAGTGAATCTTTTACTAATCCCAAGGAAATCTAGATTATCCCTCCCCCAATTAAGATTTGAAATCTAAAATAGAAACCCTAGTATACGCAGGTAATCCGATCCCAATCTAGTAATCTTGAGATCCCTCGAAATTTCGCTCTCAATCCACCATACTTGCAATTTACTTGTTTATTTATTTATAATTGTAATTGTTGATCTCCAAAAACATGTCAACAGGTGTCGTTCACGATGATGTACACTTGGCATACTCCTCAATATGTTGAATTTGAGCTTAAACACATTTTCAATTATTGATCAAATATACTTAAATAAATAAGATAAATACTGGTAAAAGAAGAAAATATGGAATAATGAGTGAATTTATGTAAAGAGAAATATACAATGCCCTTTTATATATTTGAAGATTCATCCTTCAACATGTTAAAAAGACAGCTATTTATAGTAATCAGGCCGATGTGGTCATTGTTGAATCAAATCCACGTGACCTAATCTGTTAGACCCTGACATCGCATTATCCCATCTCACATTAATTATATCGACAGACATTTGACAAGAAATCAGTGGCCCTACATTCCTAGGCTGACATTTATTTAATAAAAAAAGTCATATCAATCAATCCTAAAAATACGCTTATCAGACCCTCTTGTAGGCGTTATAGATTTCGGATGTGAAGGGATTCGATAAAAAGGAGAAAAACCACTTCGGATGGAGGAGTAACACCACTTTTGAGAACTTTAGTAGTATGATATTGGTCGTTGATGAAAGTACTTTCATAACTTTTTCTTTACTCTCGATTGAATGTCAAGTGTGTGAAAATGGGGTTTTCACATGATCCCATCGAAAGGACTACTTATTATTAGTAATAAAAATGCTTCTCAATGCACACAGATTAAAATCTTTCATTCAAATTATAGTACTTCCAACTTCGAAAACTCAATTTACGGCAACTCGGATATTAAATGGATCGAGATGATGATGATGACTTGAATGGTTCACATCCTCCGGGTCAACCCCATCCTCTTTGATTGTAGCATAACACGGCTTTGACCACAAAAAGTTCATATTATAAGTAATTATTAGCGTAGTAATATCTTCCAAATATTACACTATTGACTCTCAATCTATCTTTTGTGTAAATGTTAGTTTCCCAACGTTTTAAAATTTCTACTGTCTTGCTACGTGACTCATATTTCTAATTTTATAAAGTTAGTTTTATATTTTTTTTTCACTAAAGTTGTTATTCATGAGATTCACGACAGTTTGATATAGGTTTGGTGACTGATTATGCAATCGTAGTTAAATATAGGGATCAGTACAGTCTTTTATAAATATTAAGGACTAACTTGCTATTTTAAGTAAATATCGAGGAACAATATTACAATTTTCCGTAGAATCGGACCGACCGGCCAATCACATGTAAGGGAGACAAAACAACACGAAAATGCTCTTTCTACATTCACCAGATGCATTCAATCATCATATATGAATCTATGGAGGCAAATTTTTGGAGAATACTTTAATTTTGCTAGTTGGTAAATTGGTTGAATCTTTGACATTATTTACATTTATTGATTGATAGATTTGGTGTATCCGTAGATGTATTCAGACAGAATTAGATTGAAAAAATAGGAAATCCTACATAAATGCATTCAGACAGTGAGTAGATTGAACATTAGGAAACCCTAGGTTAGCAGATTGGGCGGGATATATTGTGGCGACACAGAAATCAATGCGGCGGAATAAATCGGAGGGAGGAAAATCAGGATTCTTGAATAGCTGTGGTGGCGGATCTGATGGTGAAAATTGCGTCATTGTTTACAAACAATTGTTCGGACCGAGTTTTGGCTAGGAAGAATATTTTTGGTTTTAGTTTTATAGGTAGCTGGAGGTGTAGTCGTGCAAGCGGTAATTTCATTGATTTGGGAGAGGAGGACAAAAGTAGGGAAGTGGATTGTGTTGGAAGAGGTGGCGGAGAAGGAAGATGCAGCTGCACTTCTCACCTAGCATGAGAAGTATAACGATATCATCAAGCAGCAGCGGTGGAAATAGCAATGGAGGAGGCGGGGATTTGATGAAGATCAAGGTCGCACCTCGCCACATCTCTTATCGCACGCTCTTCCACACCATTCTGACTCTTGCATTTTTGTTGCCTTTTGTTTTCATTCTTACTGCCGTTGTCACCCTTGAAGGAGTCAACAAGTGCTCTTCATTCGGTACTTTCCACATTTGCCCTCCATTTTTACGAAATACTTCTGTACTAATTATGATTGATTCCGCGATTTGTGTTACTTAGATCTCACCAGTATTTGTTGTTTATTTATTATACAGATTATGTTTTTTTTTTTTTTTTTGGTCAAGATGTTATGCTTGTCAAGTTGCATAGAATTATGGCACCTCTTAATTGTGATTGTCAAGCTATTTCTGAGAATTCTTTTACTGTAGACACGATTTTGGTAAATGATTTTGTTTTAGACATGCCGTTTATTGTACATTATCTAGCTGGTTGGCTTTTGCAGTCACTGTTTGCACCTGTGCTAGTATTATATTTTTTCAGCCTTTATCTTGCCATGTCGAAATCTCATTGAAGACCTAGACCAAAATATATGATCTGGTATTTGCTCAAAGCGGCTGAAGTATACAAACTGATCTACCAGACATTTGAATGCCATTTTTGGAAACTATTGCAGTTGATATCGTGGTGCCAATGCATCTTTTATTTGTGTGTATATATTTTCCGATTAAAATGCCTGCTTATTTGTCTCATCTGCTATTTGATTACATGTTTACTTCTTCTGTTATGCTTGTTACTTTCCTTATGGTTTCTCCATTCATTTTCTCTCTCTTTTTCGTTAATGTTAGTATTCGTATATCTTAGTATCTTGAACTCCAATTATCAGTTTGCTGTTTTGACATTGTTATAATTATGGTGTGACACATATAACGTGGGTGAATATGTGGAAGACTGAGGGAGAATAAGTTAGTCGGTGTCTATGTCCTAACTGTTAGTGTGGTTCTTTTACACTTTGGTGACGCACACTCTTGCCTTTTCTCGTGTCTTATGTTTCCCCCATTCCAATCTAAATGTATCAGTGCTATTCTTCCATCACATATGAAGAAATTTATTTATTAATGCATTTTGATGAAACTTATGGTTTCAGTTTATTGCCTTCTTCCATTTCTCAGATTGTCTAGGAAGACGGTTGGGGCCAAAGCTCCTTGGTAGAACTGATGATTCAGGGGTAGAGTTTTACAATTATTTACTTTTGTATTTGCTCATACTATTTTGTTTTATGTCAAAGCTTCACTTATTGTAACATTTTGAAGCTGGGAGTTTACTGAATAACGTAGCTGAAACTTTGTTTCTGTTGTTCTTGTAGCAGAGGGTGGTCAAGGATTTCATAAAGATCCTCAATCAAGTGAATTCTGAAAAAGTCCCCGATCGCTTGAAACCCCCGGAGTCTTTTAGTCAACTTGTTACAGAGATGAAAATCAATAAATACAGTACCAAGGAATTTGCTTTGATTTTGAAAGGAATGGTATGTATCAGCTGAAAAATGTTGCTCTCTCTGTCATGCGTGACTAGATTTATTTATTGAACACATACCTTTTTGTAAGGACAGGCTGTCATTTGAATTTTGAGTTATGCTGTCCTTTTAGATTTTTTTCCCGTCATTTTACTTTTTCTTCACAAGTCCAAAGCCGTTAGCGTGTTTGTTTCCATCTATTTGACTTTGACTTTGACTTTCCCGTGGTACTAATGTATCAACTTTATTCTTGACACACATTGGAAAATAGAAAAAGAGACTTGGCACATTTTCAATGTTTTAGCTCCCGTTTGACCTCCATTAATTTTCATTCTATTACATTTCATTTTTCTCCTTCCTATTTCCCACCATACAATCTTCCATAAAATAATATTACACATAAACCAAAAACTTTTCCTTCTCCACCCATTTGTCAAAAAAACACTATTCTACCCATTAATTTTTGTACAAAATGGGGGCTTAAAACACGCCAAAGATGATCTTGGATTTCAGAAAATATCTGAACCAACTTATGTGATGAGACTATTTATCTTTCGTATTTCAAAAAATGGATATAGGACTATAAAAGTGGGAGATGAGCAGTTATGGTTATATATGGGAAATTGATCTAGCAATGTCCAGACTGCAAATTTAAAATCATGTCTCCTCCGTGTGGAAAAATTGCTCGATGTTATTAGGTAATTAATTTTATAATCGCTCATGCTTTGTTGGCTTTCCTGCGGCTCAATGATATTTCCACAGGATCTGTAATGCTGGTACTTGTAAAGCAATGAGGTTTGGTAAGCTCTTCCCGCGATCCAGGAGGTTTTTGTTAAATAATGATTTAATGTTGAAGAGAAAGATAATGTTATTTGCAGTGGGATAGAATATGGATTTTTGCAAATGCAATGTGTAGGGTGTGAATTAATAGCTTAAGAAACTACAAGCTGTGCTTGTTTCGTCTGGAAAATAAATTGATTATCAGTTGTGACTTCTTAGGAATTGTATTTGTTCTCTTTCTATATTGTATATTCTACAGAGAATGTAGTTTATAATCTATCTCAAACTCAGCAAAACCTTCTTCCTTCAATCAAAAGGGAATGAAAAATAATAACTGGAGGCAAAAAGTAAAGTTAAAGAAATCTTGGTGGTTTTTGGTGTGTTTTGCTCTGAGGCCATGTTATCTCTGTGTAATTAATTTGTCTTGCTTCATTGAAACAATTGTAATCACAACATTAAATGCAGAATTTCAAAATCCTTCTAGGGTTGTCGAAGGTAAAATTAGTTCGCCAAACTAATCTTCTTCTTAAAACTTCTCTTGATTCTGCCTGGTAGATGGAGAGATCTGAAAGGGAGATTAGGGAGTCCAAGTTTGCGGAGCTAATGAATAAGCACTTTGCAGCTACTGCTATTCCTAAGGGCATTCACTGCCTTTCTTTGAGGTTGACAGATGAATATTCTTCCAATGCTCATGCACGCAAACAATTGCCTTCACCAGAGTTACTCCCATTGCTGTCTGACAACTCCTACCATCACTTTGTATTGGCCACCGACAACATTCTTGCTGCTGCAGTCGTGGTCACCTCTGCTGTCCAGTCATCTCTAAAGCCTGAAAAGATTGTTTTTCATGTCATAACAGACAAGAAAACATATGCAGGCATGCATTCATGGTTTGCCCTAAATCCTATCTCTTCTGCCATAATTGAAGTGAAAGGTGTCCATCAATTTGATTGGTTAACAAGAGAGAATGTTCCTGTGCTTGAAGCTGTGGAGAGTCACAATTTGATTCGAAATTACTACCATGGAAACCATGTTGCTGGGGCAAATCTGAGTGATACCACCCCACGAACATTTGCCTCAAAATTGCAAGCTAGAAGTCCAAAGTACATCTCATTGCTCAACCATCTACGCATATATCTCCCGGAGGTATTCATTGTTGAACATATGTTTCCTTTAGGTGTTGTCATCCTTTGTTGTACTTGAGAGTATGATAGTTGAGGACTCTTGCTTAGATAATGGATATCACATGCCATTATCAACCTGCAACGTGTTTTCAGTTGCACCCCCAGTTTGTTTGAAAGCTACATTATAAATCGGGTATGAATATAAATCCTCTGCAGCCTATCCACTCATTTGAAGGGTAACAAATGATCTGATTCGTAACTGAGCATACCATGACAAATAAACGGTTGCTCAAGGTGTGCCAAAGCTAAGTTGCTTCATTACATGACACTTGGACTGTCCTTCTCTTTAAAGAGCTCTAGTCAAGCAAACGTAATCCTGATTTCTATAATTAGTTTTTCTACCATTGTATTAGTTAATATATTAGTCTTTAATTTATTTACTTATGAATTTCATGTTGTCGAGTAACTTTTACATTCTTTATCATCCCGTTTCCCCCCATAAATGGAGGGAGATTGACCCACAATACAGTAGATTAACTTTGTCAACGAATTATGAGTACACCTTTGGCTTTTTGGGACGAGTGGGATTGAAAAATTGTTTCAATCATTATTGAATCAGGACTTCTCTTTCATCCTTTACATTTCTGTTTTCCTAATTTGATGCTAACAATGTTATACTGCGATATTGTGCAGCTATTCCCATACCTTGACAAGGTGGTTTTCTTAGATGATGATGTTGTAATTCAGCGTGATTTGTCTCCTCTGTGGGAAATTGACCTTAATGGGAAAGTTAATGGAGCTGTTGAAACGTGTAATGGTGAAGATGATTGGGTAATGTCTAAGCGATTTAGGAATTATTTCAACTTCTCTCATCCTCTTATAGCAAAAAATTTGAATGCTGATGAATGTGCTTGGGCATATGGGATGAATATATTTGACTTACGTGCATGGAGAAAGACAGATATCAGAGACACTTATCATGCCTGGCTTAAGGAGGTAATATTAAATTATCTTTATTTTTTTATTTCACAAGTTGTTAGTTGTTTGCTTTACCAATGTTTTCGCGTGGGTTTGAAATTAATGGGATTAAATCCTTCTGCTACTCATATGTTGCAAAGTCAGCTGTTTACCTATATAATTATCTTGGGGACTTGCAGCTAATTGGAATGTTTGCATAATCTGAATGCTTTTACTCACTAGCTTGTGTTAATACATCTTGCATCATGTTTATATTTCCACGAGCCTAATGGTTGGATCTGTGCTTGTGCCCCTCCTAATGCCTCAAGACCCTATATGTTAGCTTTATCAGTATGGTAAAAACAGATGAACTTCATGCTTTCTGAATGACTATAGACTAAATAACTGGCAATATCAAACATATTTGATCAAAAGGCCACTAAAGCAGATGCTCAGTTTTCTGGAATATGCTTGTTTTACTCGTGCTGTTGGTGGTTGCAGAATCTGAAGTCTAACTTGACATTGTGGAAGCTTGGAACTCTACCTCCAGCTTTGATTGCATTTAAGGGTTATGTTCACCCAATCGATCCCTCGTGGCACATGCTTGGATTGGGATATCAGAATAAGACTAATGTTGAGAATGTGAAGAAGGCAGCAGTGATTCACTACAATGGCCAGTCAAAACCATGGTTGGAGATTGGCTTTGAACATCTCAGGCCATTTTGGACCAAGTATGTTAACTACTCCAATGATTTCATCAGGAACTGCCAAATATTGGAGTAGTAATCAATTAATAGATAGTGAACTAAGGAAATGATGGGATAAAGATGGAAGCATTACAGGTTTTGCTATATGTCTCCTGGAAAGGTAAAGAGATTGATATTCAGTTGATAGAGATGTGGAGAGAAACACAGAGCCTGGCCAAGATTGCTGATATTACATATTTGCTCCCTTTCCCCGACTCTTGAATGATTGGACTTGTATTACTGGCCTGGGCATGATATTTATTCATTCAGTTGTAAATTAGCAATTCATCGTCTATTTTTTGATTGGACCTTGGACATGACCTGCGTAATGGGGATTTTACCATGGTGCTTAGAAGGCAATGATAGTTTGCTCACTTGGCAGAAAATGCTTGTGATCCCAGTCTATCACGCAACTTGGTGCATGAAAGGACGATGCATGCCCTCTTGTAAGGCGCCACTGTCTCCATTGGCCATAGAGACTATTATTTTCCCGTTATTTTTTGGTTTTGTTGGTACTCCTCCCCCGTCCCCATTATACCATTTATTATTACTCTATTTTTTTGGCTGATTCTATATATTCATCATGATTTTAGTTGTCGGCCGAGTAGGGTTCTTACATGGCCTGATTGAATTATAGAACTGTTATAGGTTACATGGTGGTAATTTGTTCTGTATGATTTAATGAGAAACATTGATTATTTTATCAAATTTATGGTCTCTCTATGATGCTGATAAGAATGCTTGAAATCTATATCGCATTACGTCTTACTCTAGTGTAAAAATAAGTATTTTATTAATTTGAAGTCATTGGAAAAGCTGCATATGTTCTGATATCATAGTAGAAGTTATAATTTATTACTAAATTATTGTTGCTGCTTTCATTGAAATTTCTTTGCCGCTTGTTTGCTTGCAAGATTCTGCAATTATAATCAAATGATTGCCACCAAATTGGTCCTAATCGATCACATATATTTTAATGGCTTTGTTGATTCTCGATAACTTAAGAAAGAGAACCAAATACCCTATATATCTATTTTCCTATCAAAGGCTTATTATTTTATATTAATTCTACTTCGTACCTATATTCCTACGGTAAAATTTAAAAGTTGAACCCCAACATTAAGGGTCCCTCACCGTCTCATCTCTGGAGCATCGTGAGAGAGGTTAATCGTGGGATGTGCCCCAGTAGGTTTGGGAACAAGAACTGTCTGTACACTGGTGTCTACAAAGAATCCTAATCTATGATTTAGAAATCGAACCCTCACATTACGATTGCCAGCAAAATTGAATATACCTCCCTTATTCTTTGCACCATTGGGATATGTCCGAGGGCTTCCTATGGTAAAACTTAAAAATATTGTCGGCGGATACACCCTTTTCTGTTCTTCGCTTAAGAACCATTTGATTGAATTTTATAAGCATATCTCTTAACTTATGGAAATACTTGTCTGAGTTCAGTGGTGCCATCGCTTTGTTGCAAGGTGATAATGGATTGAATTGAATCGATTTGACTCTTATACGCTCGAGTTCTACTTGTGTTTAAATCCTAAACTTAGCTTTATTCTTGGGCTTGTAGATCAAGTTGAGTCGTTCAAGATTTGATTTTTTCCAAAATAATTAATAAACTAAGCGAGTTGACTTGTTAAATAAAAAGTGAGCTTCACTAGTTTTAAAACGATCTCAAGTTATTCATTGATCCAATTGAGATGAGCTAGCGTGCGGCTAGATAACCATTGACTATAATTAACACTTTGAAAAGTCACTAGGCATTTCTTTATGGGGAAATGAGTTGGAAAGACCACTTTAATGTTCATTTTGTTCAATTGGCCTTTGACCAAACTTATAAAAATAAAAGGAGTTTTAATTATTTAAAAGTGTCAAAAGACTTTTTTACCCTTAACTTGTAAAACAAAAATGAAGAAGAAATTGGAGTTTTTTTTAAATTTGTTGGAGCCATGACTTGAACCTTGGAATGCAAGAAAATATTTTAACTCCACAACCATTATCGCAAATGTTGGTTCTTTGTTTCCTATGAGCAAAATATATATATTACATTTCAAAAAATTGTTTTATTCTCACTTCAAAAATAAAATTTAATTAAAATTAAAATTTAACAATAACCCACCGATTGAACCATTAACCCGGTAATTTTTTTTTAGTTGATCATCGGGTTGGCTCTAATAACTATGCATTCATGTTCTAACACACACAACATTCCCTTCCTTTAAATTCAAAAAATCTTCCTCTTCAAAATCATCTTCTCCTTAGAATTCGAACTCTTCTTTTTAAGTTTCAGGTCATCTCTTTTTCGTAATTGATCTCCAGTGCAACCAAAGTTTTAACATTGTCCACAACCTAACAACTAGACGAAAATAATTATTGAGTCATTTATTCATTAGACACATATTATAACACACGAAATTTTTTAAAATAAATTTATCGTTATATTTTGGAAAAAAATGGACAAAAAAATATTTTTTAAATTTATATCTTATTTAAAGTCCAATAATTAGATTTTAATAAAAAGCGATGCAGTATATCGATTTGTACTCATTTTAAAGCTTGTAATTAATAAGAACTATTCGACTCGAGAAAAAGTCGATTCGGATAAGCCAGCACGAAAATATTGCAGTTTGAAGAAATCGTAAAATATAACTTATCAACTTAATAAAAATGTGGAATGGAAATGAGCTGCTGACACTGTTTCACTGATTTGCATAAGACATTGAAATCGTTCCTGAAATATAAAACGACTTCGATATCATTTCAGTATCAAATACACTCTGCTTAACTGATTTGTATAACGACATTAAACTCGTTCCTGAAGTACAAAAAACGATGTATATGTCATTCCGATATCGAATACACATTACTTCACTGTTTAACAGGTTTAAGCGCACGTTATGGAATAAGTAAATAACGTTTATGTCATTTCACAATTTTCGACGACAATGATATCGTTCATATTCAATCGTAACTATAATGTCATAAATATCGTTTCAGAAGTGATTACACTAGAACGTTATAACTACGATATTAAATGTAATTAAAATTTACATATAATTGATCGTGGACGATCGAATCGTCGTTTTTATGATTATCATTTTTGTTAAAATTTAAATTAAAGCGATATCAATGTTATCAAAATTGTACTGAAACGATAATAGTATCATTATGTATCAAACCCATAAAATAAGACAACGACATTCAAATCGTCATCGTACAAATTTAATAAGTTTGAAATCATTCCAATTCAAATCACAATGATAATGACATAGATATCATTTATTTTCATTAGAACAAAAATGTTCTCATAGTTTCTTTTGAGGGAGATTGAACCCACTTGATTATCTATTTTTATCATCCTACATATACCAAATGCACGACTGGTGGTCATAGACAGTCGAATCATTATTTTTAGCATAAATGATATAATTGTCGTTTTATTTTAACTGAAACGATATGTATGTAGTTTTAGTTATGATTTAAGTTAAAATGATATCAACATTATCAAACTTGTATTGAAACAATAATGATATCGTTAAGTGTCAAAATCACAAATAAAGTAATGACATTCATATCGTTTTAGTACAAATTTGACGAGTTTGAAATCATTCCAATTCAATTCACAAGTATAATGGCGTAGATATCGTTTTTTTTCATATAAAATAATAATTATATCGTTCTAGCTAAAAATAACGATTCGACCGTCCACAACCATCCGTCATGCCTTCAACATACGTAGGATGATCGAAAGATGTTATCAAATGGGTTGATACCACTCGAATGACTTAGAAAGAGCAAACGAAGATACTTCTGTCAGAATAGTTCGAAGGTGGTATACAATCATGAAAATAAAAATGTTCTCATAGTTTCTTTTGAGGGAGATCGAACCCACTTAATTATCTATTTTGATTATCCTACATATGTCAGATGCATGTCTGGTGGTCGTGGACGGTCTAATCATTATTTTTAGCAAAAACGATATAAGTATCGTTTTATTTTAAATGAAACGATATGCGTGTAGTTTTAGTTATGATTTAAACTAAAACGATATCAACGTCGTCAAAATTGTATTGAAACGATATTGATATCGTTATGTATCAAAATCACAAATAAAGTAACGATATTCATATCGTTTTAGTACAAATTTGACGAGTTTGAAATCGTTCCAATTCAAATCACAAGTATAACGACGTAGATATCGTTTCTTTTTATATAAAACGATAATTATATCGTTCTGGATAAAAATAATGATTCGACCGTCTACAACTACCCATCATACCTTTAGGATACGTAGGACGATCAAAAGAGGTCATCAAGTGGGTTAATACCACTCGAATGACTTGGAAAGAGCAAACGAAAATACTTTCTGTCTGAATAGTTTGAAGATGGTATACAATCACGAGAACAAAAATGTTCTCATAGTTTCTTTTAAGGGAGATCAAACCCACTTGATTACCTATTTTGATCATCCTACATATGTTAGATGCATGTTCGGTGGTCGTGGACGGTCGAATCATTATTTTTAGCAAAAACGATATAAGTATCGTTTTATTTTAACTGAAACGATATGCGTGTAGTTTTAGTTATGATTTAAACTAAAAATATATCAACGTCGTCAAAATTGTATTGAAACGATATTGATATTGTTATGTATCAAAATCATAAATAAAGTAACGACATTCATATCGTTTTAGTACAAATTTGACGAGTTTGAAATCGTTCCAATTCAAATCACAAGTATAACAACGTAGATATCGTTTCTTTTCATATAAAACGATAATTATATCGTTCTGGATAAAAATAACGATTCGACCGTCTACAACTACCCATCATACCTTTAGGATACGTAAGACGATCGAAAGAGGTCATCAAGTGGGTTGATACCACTCGAATGACTTGGAAAGAGCAAACGAAGATACTTTCTGTCGGAATAGTTTGAAGATAGTATACAATCATGAGAACAAAAATGTTCTCATAGTTTCTTTAAAGGGAGATCGAACCCACTTGATTACCTATTTTGATCGTCCTACATATGTTAGATGCATGTTCGGTGGTCGTGGACGGTCGAATCATTATTTTTAGCAAAAACGATATAAGTATCGTTTTATTTTAACTGAAACAATATGCGTGTAGTTTTAGTTATGATTTAAACTAAAACGATATCAACGTCGTCAAACTTGTATTAAAACGATATTGATATCGTTATGCATAAAATCACAAATAAAGTAACGACATTTATATCATTTTAGTACAAATTTGAATAGTTTGAAATCGTTTCAATTTAAATTACAAGTATAACGATATAGATACCGTTTCTTTTCATATAAAACGATAATTATATCGTTCTAGCTAAAAGTAGATTTGACCATCCACAACTACCCATCATGCCTTCAATATCGTTACGTTGTTCAGTGCACTTTTTTATTGGAAGGACATCTATATCGTTTTGACTTTCAGGAACGACTTCCATATCATTCTTAGAATGAATGCATTTTTTGTACTAGAACGACTTATATATCGTTTATGTATAGTCATAACGACTTTGATGTCATTACCAAAATAAGTTAAGCAGTGTGTATTTCATACTAAAACGATATAGAAATCGTTTTTTATTACAGGAACGGTTTCAATATCGTTATGTTATTCACTCTACTTTTTTTTTTATTTGAACGACATCTATATCGTTTTGTGCTTCAAGAACGACTTCAATTTCGTAATTAAAATTAATACATTTTTGTACCACAACGATCTTAAACACTTTGTTTCAGAAGGAAGAAAATATATATCGTCATTAGATTGATTGCATTTACATCAATTGTAACTATATGAACGTCGTTTGCATTTCAATAGTGCAAAAGCATTTCAATAGCACAATGATTACAAAATTTAATAAATCATCTTGTGCTTCGAATAAGCACAAAATTATAAAGTTACAAGTCAGGAAAATATTACAACCTTAATCTCAGACGATTATTACTCGAGAACTTCAAGAAGCAAGAATATTTTGGAAAAAAATTATAAAAATAAAAATGAACGGTCGATTAATATAGTCTTTATGGATCCATTGAATAATTTTGATAATTTATAATCTCAGCACTATCACAAACTTATGAACTTGGATTATGAATTATGATGATAAACCAGGAAGTTCACCTAGCATATAAGCCAGCCATTACATTATAGTTTTTATCCTACACACATACACACACACACACTTTCGACCTACATCTTGATGAAATTAAAGGAATAAATTACTTAAAATGTTGGACCAATTATTTCTATGTAAAAAAGTCACCATCAGTAGCACCTAAAGAAAAAGGAAAAAAAACGACGTTCCCCATTTTTCTTTGGGTCGAGGATGGGAAAGGCTGACATAATATTTGACCTGCTATGTTCAATTCCTCTTAGAGCAAAGTTGAGTAAGCATGTCCCTCAAGAGAGCTGCAGTACGAAATCACAAAGTAAACATCCAAGTTTCTAAATCTTTATATTGAAAGCAAGTAAATGAGCAAGATAACACACAAGATGGTTATGTAATTTGCAGGAAATAATTCCAAATCAATTATCCATTATAAATATAAATGAAATAATAAAAAAGTATGCTCCAACAAAGCCAAGGTATTGGTTTCTATTTCAAGGTATTGGTTTATTCCATCTTATTTGGGAATAAAAACATATAATCCATCGATATCTTATGACTGTACTCGTAACCATTTGAAGTTGTGAATAGATTATTTAATCATTCGATTTTTCCAATTAAATTTCGAAAAAGTTGTGAATTGATGTTCAACACCTCTTTAACTTTATCATATAATTCCATATAAGAAATAATTTTCGCAACAAGAATAGGAGTTGTTTTTATTTGTCATTCCCTGCATATTTTCATTTTAAAACACATTCAATCGACTACTCATATTCAACTGGAAAACAAACTGATATCCATACCATATTCACGGTGTCCATAACTATAATTCAATATAAAAATTTCATCACATTTCAAACAGTATACAGTGCTGATAACGATATGTAAGTCGTTATGGATTGCAGAAAACGACATGTAAGTCGTTATGTACAGACGAAAATTAAATGTATGTTAATAAAAAGAATAGCCAAACATGCCTTTGCAACCTACATTTTACTCTAACTGATACAGATGATCAGAAATGAGAAAAAGGGTTTGAGAGCAACCCATATCAAAACTCTAATCTAATGATAAAATTAATTCAAAATCATTGTTCTCAAATAAAAATCATAAATATATATGCAACAACATGAAGAAATTATTCAAAAAAGGGACAAGGAAACTAACCAAAAAATTGAAAATTACAACACCCCCTTCTTCTTCAAATGCCCAACAATGATATTACAAGATTTTATTACTTACTTCAACCAAATGAGTGTTCAAGGAAAATGGAATGTAGAGTTTAAGGTTTCATTAAGTAGAGAAAAATGATGATGACAAAGAAACAAATTACATACCTCTACAGCCGATTTTGAAGAGCAAATGGAAGGAAGGTAGAATTTAATTAGGGTTAAATGGAAATTGAAATGAGAATTAGGGCATCAATGTCTTTTTTGTTTGTAAGGTCATTTTAGTCATTTACAAATTATATTTTTCATTTTCCATATCTTTAGGCCTTTTACCCAAAAAACTTAGCTTGTGGACTTTTTAAACTAATATTTTGTTTGACTAGGCTTTTTAAATGAAAGCCCCCTTCTTTATACTTTTATCTCGCCCTTTTCCTTCATACCTTCATTATTAATTTATTAATTCGCAATTTATTCTTTGTTACCAAATTATTAATTTAATAATATTAATGCATTTCACGCAGTGGTTGCTGATTGTTCATCTTCTATAACTTGATTTTACATGAAAAAAAAAGAAACTCTTGGAAAAACAACGAAAGAAGAAGAGAAACCCAGATCAAGTAAGTCTGCACTGCAGATTTTCGTCCTGTTTTTGAGTGAAAATATGGGCTTTTATTGAAATATGAGAAGATTTTAATATTTATTTTTCTTTACCAGTTTATTGCCTTATTATTATTATTATTATTATTATTATTATTATTATTTGATTTGGAAGTGAATCTGCTTAAAGAAAAATATTTCAGAGGATATTTGTAATTTGTTACAGAACCCAAAATATTGGATGTTGCAGTTGCTGAAGATTTTATTTCTTTTTAGTTTTTTTTTTTTACTTACTTTTATTGTATCAAAATGATGAATTGGTCCAACTGGTTCTTATACTCCGAAATTCAAAGATTTTTTATTGTTTAGATCATGAAATCGTATTCCAGATACAAGCATAGCAAAGATTTGGATGTATATTGTGAAGCAAATATGAAGAGCCATTTCTTATAGTCAAGAGGGTTATTGATTTTGGGACTATAGGGGTACTAGAGATTTTGGTGTTTCGTGGTCTATCGTTCTGGAATAAATTGAAGATGTCTGGAGCAGAAGATCAAATGGAGATTAAGTTTAGGTTGATTGATGGATCAGATATTGGCCCGAAAATTTTCCCTACGGCTACAAGCGTTGCAACCTTGAAGGAGAATATCATAGCTCAATGGCCTAAAGGTTGGTCGATCTTTTTCTTCTCTTTACAGCAATCTTATATTCGTATGGCATGCTTAGTAAGCAGGATTAGATTCGTGTCAAGGAAGAAAAACTAAAATCTTGTCTATTGTGCTTTCCATTCTTGTTGAGTACTGCATACTGATAGTGCATCTATGGTTTGATGGCTGCAGTTATTGAGTTTCTATGAGTATCCATGTAGAGAAATGACCTTGTCATTGTGATGTGTGAATATGAACATGACCATGTTGGACAGGGTAGTTGTAAATGGCATGTCTGTGTAGATCGGGTATTGGATGTAGCTACTGTTAATAGCATTTTACAGGTGATCTGTCAAAACGTGAAAACTTTATTCGTCTTCATCTATCATACTTTATCCTGTTCTTAAACAGGTAGGGGGAAAGTAGTCTTGTAACCCCCAGTGTTTAAAAATGTCATAATTTGAGGAGTTTGAACTTTTAGGAGTCAATAGCACCAAAGATTTAATTATGTAAAACTGTGATTGCTGCGTCCCGACAGTAAAAAGATGCTTCACACAGAAGAACCTTCCACTCCGACCTCAAGGCATATGAAAAACAAAGTAAAAAAAAAATAAAAAGCCTTGGGAAGTATGTTACAGCATAACCATTTTGTTACATACGTGGTTTTTGACATGTTTTTGATGTTTAAGATATTCATCCAAGCGTGCTTTTTTGAGCAGAAAAAGAAAATGGTCCACGTACAGTCAAAGACATCAAACTAATTAGCGCGGGAAGAATATTAGAGAACAACAGAACTGTGGAGGATTGTAGAAGCCCATTATACGATATTCCAGGAGTAGTCACGACCATGCATGTTGTGGTTCGAACACCAGCAATGGAAGGTTAGATTTAAATTGTAATCATGTGCACTGAATGAGATCATGATATATCACCGGGTATCTGCTTTTTTAGAAAAAATTATGACCATTTCATTATACAATCCTTGGCTGATTAAGATCAGATCACAGACGATATATCATTTTACTTGTTTTCACTTTGTCTCCATTTTCCTTTTTACTGCTTGATCATTAAGCTTTAGCTTATTAAAGCAAGGTAATCTTTCTTGACATAACAGTAAAGAAGTCGCTAAGTGACTCGAAGCAGAATAAATGCGGCTGCGTTATATTATGAGACACAGTTCCAGAACCAAAATGATCGACATTTGCAGGTTTGTAATTGTTGGTCCTCGACTCCATTTACTTGTATATATGAAAGACGTATCTAATTTTCTTTGTATTCTCCGTTCTTGTGCAGATAAGGTACAGTTGAATTGCTGGTTAATTGGTGGCAAATCATATCTTGCACTAGGTCCAGGTGTTCATATAGTCAGTCAATTTCACATCCACATTTTTTTTTACTTTAAAAATTCTACTGCTGCATTCTTGAATTGTAACACTTTCAATTGAAGATCTATGTCTTCTTTTGGAATAACTCAAATCACAGTTGCAGAATCAGAATTATTGGTTCTATTGAAGTCTTCAATTTTTGTTTGGTTTTGCTAAATATCAAACTTTTTATAGATTTTTGATGAAAGTTGATGAAATTTGTGGTTGTAAAGCTAATAAAATTGTGGATTTTATAAAATGTGTGGCTAAAAATAAGTTTGTAAAAAAATATAGTTTTAAAAAATGGGGCCAAATAGACGCTTAATGATTTGGTTTCAAGATTTTCTTAGATCAAGTATGAAGAGTTCCTTGTGATTTGAGAAAAGCCACAAATCAGTAAACCGTTGTGCTAAAACTCAAGTCATGGAACCTTTTTCATATAGGTATGAACGTTACTTGGGGCCTATTTGATTGGTTCGAATTTCATGGAAAATGGAATTCTAATTCCACATTTTTCCAATTTTGTATGTTCGATATGTTTTATTTTCTATGGAATTGTATTTTTTTGCTTGTATTGGGAATTGATACTTCTTGGTTTTCAAGGAAAATGGTGAGAATTGGTTTTTCTGTTACTGTAGCATTTTTTTATTTTTTATTTTTTTGACAAAGTTAACAAATTCTAAGAATTATTATAAAAAAATATTTTCCTTTAATTAACAATTTCTATGTAAAATAAAATCAAACGAACACCAGAATATAAATTTCATTCCTTTAATTGACAATTTTCATGTAAAATAAAGTCAAACGAACACCAAAAAATAATTTTTATTTCAACATTTTTCACGTGAAAAATTATATCAATCAAACATAATAATTTAGAATTCTCAGAAAAACAATTTCTAGACAATTTAATTCTCTGGAATTTGTTTTCAATTCAATTCAATTCAATTCAATTTCATCTTTACAATAAAACGATTCCTTATTTTCATAATAAAGTAATGGCTAGAATATACTCAATTGGCTCATTTAAGGGTATGCAAGAAACCTCATATGAAACATGGGCATTACCGCCTTTTTGACAATCGAATGTTCTTAACTTGATATTTTAATAAACTAGTACAGAAAGTGAAGAAAACATCTTTATTTGCAAAAGAACTAATATATAATTAGCTTGTGAGTTACCTTTTATTTTCCTAATTCCAATCTTGATTGCCTTCCACATTGGTTTCCCTCTGATAAAACTATACTGAGAGCTCAAGCTACTATCAACGTCGGTCCGGCCAAAAATATGAGACATGATACTTACTTTTACTATCTAGCTCGTCTTCAAAATTCCTCTAATTATTTTTCGAAAAAAAATTTCATACAAATTTAACAATAACTTCTTAATTTCAAAAATTACTTTTAATTTCGAAAAAGCTCGAGTCCTAATCATAGTACTGAAGCATTATCTAGTTTAAATGAAAAATAAATTTTTAATAAAAGTTGATGAAATGTGTAGTTGAAAATTGTGAACTTCATTAAATGTATATTAAAATTAATTATTAAGTTAGACTAAAATTTTCAATTGCTTTTGAATATGAATCAAAAGTGAACTGATTTACATTTAAAATAAAAGAACATTACTTGATAAGTGAGCAAAGAGTCAAACATAAGTAGGTTAACGGAAATGATGTGTATAGAGGATTGTCAACTATATTATCAAATTTACTATACTTGTAGCATTGTTCGAAGATTAACAAGAGCTTTCACTTTATGGTACCACGCAATGATTGTATGTGGAAACACACAGCATTCACGCACGGTCACGTGTGAACAAAACGTTGTCCCAACTTGGACTAGCAATCGTGAGGTTGCTAGTTTAATTTCCATTGGAGCTACTTATTGGCCTTCTTGATTTGAGCCGGTTGAGTAACCTAGGCTGGTTTACCTCCTTGTGATCCTTTGCCGACTAAAATCACAAGACGGGATTTATCTAGTGCGCACCTTCGGATAGCGGCTGCGGGTTCCCTTGTCAAAAAAAAAATGTTAAAGGATAACACAAGAGTGATGTTATCTCATGTCTTGCTGACAGCCGCAGTGTGAGGGTTCGATTCCTGAAACATGGAATTGGACTCCCGTAAAAGTAATGTACAGGCAGCTCTTGTTCCCTGATTTGTTGAGGCACATCCCACGATTTACCTCCCTCACAAAACTCTAGAAGCGGGACGGTAGGGACTCTCAAGGTTGGGGTTCAACCTTTTTTAATGTTAAAGGATAACAATGCCAAAGCTATTTAGGCTGAGACTTTGGCTAATGTTGAAATTTAAGAATGGAATCTCAAATACTCTACAATACACTACATATGATATAAAAATACTCCACATACATATAAAGGAATGTAAAAATCCAATGATAAAACAACTACAAAAATTAAGTTGTTCAATGATTAATAAAGACCATGCTTTTGAAATAATAAATTCAAGAAAACAATAAGTTCCTTTCCAAGAAGCATGCAACTTATAAAAGGGCTTTTCATAATTCAAGCGAACTATACCTAGATACCCATGCCATCCCCCCCATAAAAAAAAAAAAAAAAAAAAAAAAAAACGTTGTCCCAACTTTACCGTACACTCTCGTGTAACCCAAACAAATCCTCCCTCTCCCTTTCACTATATCCCGAACACTCTATTTTAGCTTCACACAAAATTTTCAAGAACCTGCCAGAATTCTCCCCGCTTTATTAAATTCTTACTCAAAGGTTTTTTCTCTGTAGACAAATTCGCCCTTTAATCTCGAACTCCAGCGAAACCCATCTTTTTAAATCCGCTGTAACGCAGAGAAAACAGAGAAAAATCTTATTGCAATGGCTGCAACGACGGCGTTCGCTGGCGTTCAGTGTGTTACATCGTCTAATGGTATGAACAGAGCTGCCTTGTTTTACCAGTCTCCGGTGTCTGTGAACTTCTCAGCGAGACCTGGAGATCTAAAAACCCTTAATTCCTTAAAATTGAAGCAAAGGGATGCGTGTTTCATCCCGAAACGTGATAAAGTCGGCAGGAGTTTGGGTTCATTTGTTGTTCGATGTGATGCATCGGCTGGAAGAGTAAGTTTAGTATTGGCTTTTTTCCCTAGAATTTTACTTTACTTAATTTGTTGTAATTCAATGTTCTGGGATATTTTCTTTACAGCAGATTACACAGCAGGAATTCACGGAAATGGCGTGGCAAGCAATTGTATCGTCACCGGAAGTGGCGAAGGAAAACAAACATCAGATAGTGGAGACGGAGCATTTAATGAAGGCTCTTTTGGAGCAGAAGAATGGGCTTGCTCGCCGGATATTCTCTAAGGCTGGTGTGGACAATACTCGACTTCTTGAAGCTACGGATAAGTACATTCAACGGCAGCCGAAGGTAGTTTTCTAAGTTCATTGTTGCATTAGTTTTACGAGAAAAATTTGGCTCTCCAATTGCTTGAATATGAAATTGATTTTGACTTTGAAAATTATTGTTTCTTTTAGTTGGGATGGATTTGGAAGTTGTTTAAATGTGTTTTAAGTCTGATCTTGCTATAAGAGAACTGTGTTCGTATTTGTGTTATTTGTCAAATAAAATGTGCCGGCTTTGGCATTTTATTTAAGGTTGAAATGCTTTGTGTAGTTGTTTTGTTGCTCCAGACATTAAAAAAAGAAAAGTTTTCTGGTATTGAGCTGCTCCTAATTTTAGAGCTTGGGCTCAGAATGGCATATGGAACTGAAATATTCTTTACAAGCTTGCGGCTGTCGGTTTGAGTGTTATTTCTGATATCAGAATGTAGAAATCAGAAAATTTGAAATTGTCCTCTGTTATGTATGTGATCTTCAATCAATTCTTTGTGTAGGATGTTGACATTTTTTTGATGAATCTGAAAGTTCAATTTCTACATCGCATCTGCATGATTGACCTAACTATATTTTTGGAGTGTTAATCCGTGGAAAAATACCAGGTTCTAGGTGATTCAGCTGGATCAATGTTAGGAAGAGATCTGGAAGGGCTTATACAGCGAGCAAGGGAGTTCAAGAAAGAGTATGGTGATTCTTTTGTGTCCGTTGAGCATTTAGTGCTAGGCTTCGTACAAGATAACCGGTTTGGGAAACAACTATTCAAGGATTTCCAAATTTCTCTAAAAACTCTGAAAGATGCTATTCAGTCCATAAGGGGACGCCAAACAGTTATTGACCAAGGTAACAAATGTTCTGCTTGTTTGGGCTGATACTCTGATTTATAATTTCTATAATGAATCTGTTCAGGGAATATTTGATGAGTTCGGGTCAGGAGATGGAATCTGTCCTTTTTTGTTGCTTGGCGAGGGGACATTTGGTTGAACTGTATTGTTGTTATATTTTTCTTCTTGCCGTTATGATATATATTATATGTACTTCACTCACATGATTAAGAGGCTGTGAATGAGTATGAATGATGCAGCTTTGATTGCCCTTAGGAAGGCTGTGGTGGTGTGACCATGTAGCATGTCCACTATGCACTTTATTGTGATGTGTGAACTTTGTCAAATCTCCTCTTCTGTTGAAAAATGTTAGTTGAGACTTCTATTTTATAATTCTCCCAGGTCTTGTTTGGCCCGCCTGAGGATAGTTTGACAACGGTTTGTTAAATTAAAAAACTATTATTTATTCACACAAGCTGCAGAGATTTTTTGACATAGCTCTCAAAATCAGGAATTGTAATTTTTGATTTACACCAGACATTATACAGAGCAAATTATTTAATCCCAATCTATAACTAGCCCGTCTTTAGAAGTTTGGTCATCCAGCTGGAATTTGCAATGATAGCTGTGTATGAATTTGTTGAAAGTATATTTGTTCTGTAGCTATACATTTTCACGCTAGTTGAGAATTCAAAAGACAATTATATATCTAAAAAAGCGGAGATTCTTGGTTTTTTGCTCATAGAAAACAGTAAGTTCATTGTTGTAGTCAATACGGTTTAGACTTGTTTCTCTGAATAAAAAAGGTATGCTGAGTGATTAAATCCAAATAAAGCTCTTTTTGCGGTACTGTAACAGCTCATGGGATTAGACATTCTGATGTTGTTTGATGACTTTTTGTTCTTTGGTTTTAGTTTTATGCGATAGGAAATGTACTGGGAGTTTTTTCTTATTAAGTATAATATCAAAAATGTCTAACCTAAATAGTCTTGAACAGATCCCGAGGGGAAGTATGAAGCACTAGAAAAATATGGGAAGGATCTAACTGCGATGGCAAGAGCTGGGAAGCTGGACCCTGTAATAGGAAGAGATGATGAAATACGCAGATGCATTCAGATTCTTTCTAGGAGAACAAAGAACAATCCTGTTCTAATTGGTGAGCCAGGTGTGGGAAAAACTGCAATCTCTGAAGGGTAAGATGTAAGGTCCATCTGCATTGTGTTGTGCATCTGACCAGCCATGGTTTTATATGCAGTCAGAAATAGTTAGCCGTCTGAATTGTGAGCATGAATTTGTGACACAAAAATAAGTTACTTGGCATGTAAATTATCAACCTGGCAGTGTTTGGAATGAGTAACAGTTCGAAAAACTGCCTTCCTATGAACTCATTCTGAGAACTGTGGTTCTTGTATTTGCTCGTAGTGGTAGCCTAACTAAATTCAGTATATGTTATTTTTCCTTTTATAGAGCGCTTCTTGTACTAGAATTCCTCTTCCTTTTGCCATAATGGCATCCTTGTTTGACAGGCTTGCTCAGAGGATTGTCCAAGGAGATGTCCCTCAGGCTTTAATGAACCGTAAGGTGAGTGATGTAGAAATTTAACTGTAAATTCTCTTGGGACATGTATATACACACTCCCCCAATGCCCAACACATTCACAAACGTGCAGCATTTCCCTTAGAAAGTAACAAAGGTGTAAGCAGTTCCCTTTCTTAATGCAGCTGATATCCCTCGACATGGGAGCACTCATAGCTGGTGCAAAATACCGTGGAGAATTTGAAGATAGATTAAAGGCCGTGCTCAAGGAAGTGACTGATTCAGATGGCCAAATAATTCTTTTTATAGACGAGATCCACACAGTGGTTGGTGCAGGTAATGCTAATTTCTGATCAAATATTTTCTTTTGGTATTATTTTGCATAGTATCTCATTTTCTTCTTCTAGCATTTTTTTTTTTTTTGTTCGTGAATTGCACCAACCCCTTGCATGCATATGCAGATATGATGCGAAATGTGGCTGTCATTTAATATCTTAGAAGTCAAAAACAAATATTTTGATTATTTTCAGGTGCTACCAATGGTGCAATGGACGCTGGCAATCTCTTGAAGCCTATGCTTGGTCGTGGAGAGCTACGATGCATTGGGGCAACAACTCTGGATGAATATCGTAAGTACATTGAGAAAGATCCGGCCCTGGAGCGCCGGTTCCAGCAAGTTTATGTTGATCAACCTTCAGTGGATAATACCATCTCTATTCTCCGTGGACTGCGTGAAAGGTATGAGCTGCACCATGGAGTCCGCATTTCAGACAGTGCCCTTGTTGAAGCTGCAATACTATCGGACCGTTACATCAGTGGACGTTTCCTACCTGATAAAGGTACAATACTAAGCCCCTGTTTTGTTCAGCTAAATTTTTTTATTAAAATCTAAATCAAAGTTTACATTCACATTCCACGGGTGCCACAACTTTTCAATCACATATTTCATCTTTGTTTATCAAAATCTTCTTAAATTTTGATTTTATCTAAACCAAACAGGTGCTAAATATAATATTCTATTCATAATTAATCTGTTTAAGATTGACTTCTTGATGCTTGCCATCACTCAGGAGTCCCAGAATGTGTAGTAGTTTAAACTTGAAGGTGTGCTAGGCAATTAGAGTTGTTTTATTTCACATTTTTGTCAATAAATGTTTTCAAGATCAAATCTGCAAATTTCCTCCTGTATTAGTGTGACATGTTGGTTAGATGAAATTTTATTGCATGGCCTGTCTTCTTTCTATTAATTTACTGATGACCCTGCCAGCTTATTGCAAAAAAATAAGTCTTGCATATTGAAGTGTTATTTTCAAAATAAACTAACTGCAATGACAATTTTTCTATCGGAAGTGTAAGTTCTAGAGACCGAGTGTTCTCCATTGTCTCACTGGAAAGAATCTATGGATCTAATCAAAGCAATAGAAATCACTGCAAGTACTAATTTTGCATATCAATTGCAGCTATTGACCTTGTTGATGAAGCAGCAGCCAAATTGAAAATGGAAATCACTTCAAAACCAACCGCCCTTGATGAAATTAACCGTGCTGTTCTGAAACTTGAGATGGAAAGGCTCTCTCTTACCAATGACACTGACAAAGCATCAAAAGATAGGCTAAATCGCCTTGAGGCAGAGTTGTCTCTCTTGAAGCAGAGACAAGCTGAGCTGAATGAGCAGTGGGAGCATGAAAAAACTGTCATGACACGCATACAATCTATCAAGGAAGAGGTACGCACTTTTTCTTGGTACTATGATAAGTAGGCTAATTTGTTTTCCTTTCAGATTGCTTTGAGCATCGATATGGTTGCCAGTTCATATAAGTAAAAATGAATATCTCAATTTGTATTATAAGAATGGCATGGTAAAATTGTGAGTCTGCCATTAAAGTTTCACATGGAAAACTTATCCATTGAAGGGAGTTATATCTGTAGAACCTAAATGAATATTTATGTGACAGATTGACAGAGTAAATGTAGAGATCCAGCAAGCTGAGAGGGAGTATGATCTCAACCGTGCTGCTGAATTGAAATATGGGAGCCTAAACTCTCTGCAGCGACAACTGGAAACTGCAGAAAAAGAACTGGACGAGTATATGAAGTCTGGAAAGTCCATGCTTAGAGAAGAAGTAGTAGGTAGCGATATTGCTGAGATTGTTAGTAAATGGACAGGAATTCCTGTTTCCAAACTACAACAATCGGAGAGGGAGAAGCTGTTGCATTTGGAGGAAGAGTTACATAAACGTGTGGTCGGTCAAGATCCTGCAGTAAGATCCGTGGCGGAGGCTATTCAAAGATCCAGAGCGGGCCTTTCAGATCCCCACCGTCCTATTGCTAGCTTCATGTTCATGGGTCCTACCGGTGTTGGAAAGACAGAGCTTGCAAAGGCACTTGCTTCCTATATGTTCAACACTGAAGAAGCTCTTGTACGGATTGATATGAGTGAGTACATGGAAAAACATGCAGTTTCACGGTTGATTGGAGCCCCCCCAGGTTACGTTGGGTACGAAGAAGGAGGGCAGTTAACAGAGATTGTTCGGAGGAGGCCATATGCAGTTATTTTGTTTGATGAGATAGAAAAGGCTCATTCTGATGTATTTAATGTGTTCCTTCAAATCCTGGATGATGGTAGAGTAACTGACTCACAGGGTCGCACTGTGAGTTTCACTAACACTGTAATCATTATGACATCAAATGTGGGTTCACAGTACATACTTAACACAGATGATGACAGCTTGCCTAAGGAGATGGCTTATGAAACTATAAAGCAGAGGGTAATGGAGGCGGCCAGATCAATTTTCCGCCCTGAGTTCATGAACCGTGTTGATGAATACATTGTATTCCAGCCTCTTGATCGTGAACAGATTAGCAGTATTGTCAGGTTACAGGTAAGTTGTTCTTCAATGGTGGTTGAGCTAAGCATGTTGTCACTTCATATATATATATATAAATGTTGGAATAATGCCTCAGCTAATCCCTGTCGTGAATTTTTTTTGACAGTTGGAACGAGTACAAAAGAGGATAGCGGATCAGAAGATGAAGATTGAGGTGACCGATGCTGCAGTTGAACTTCTTGGAAGTCTCGGGTATGATCCAAACTACGGTGCCAGACCAGTGAAGCGGGTGATCCAACAATATGTTGAAAATGAGCTCGCCAAGGGAATCCTGAGAGGAGAGTTCAAAGACGAGGATTCAATTTTGATAGATACAGAAGTCATGGCATTTGGCAATGGTCAGCTTCCACAACAGAAGCTAGTCTTCAGAAAATTAGAGCCTGATTCAGATACGTACTCTGATAACCGAGAAGCTTTTTCTCAGACACGATGAGGAATTGATGATACATCTCTTCTACATAGTAACACTTTTCTCCATACACCCCCGTCATAAGAAAAAAAGACGACTCTCCGTTGTGTAAATTTACAATACAGTTCTTAGATTTTGCTTGACTTTTATTTCCAAGTATTCTTGGGGTACAGTTCTTAAAAAACCTGGCTGAAATGTTTGTATTGCGTGACGATTCAACTTCGAATACACACGCATATATTTTCCATCGGTTTATTCAACAACCCCATTCTCGACGTTCTGTTTGCAGTTTGAGACAAAATGCCACTCCTCCATGATACGAATGTGAATTCTAGTGCAACTTTTTTTGCTTTTGATTCTTAAGGTACCTTAGAACAGTTCACACTCTTAATGGGATCTACAAAGCTAATCTTCTGTCCACGGTGGGCATTAAGATAATTGTCTATCGTTGGCATGTCGTATTTTTTAGACTTTGAGGGAGGGACTGTTTCGTTTCTTAGGCTGGTTTGGTCTATTACTCTTTTCTTGTGCTTATTAGATATTGCATCATTCATAGCATTACTATACTTTTTTCTATCCATTGTGGGTTGGTTATTCTCTCTCTCTCTCTCTTTAATACAAAATTACTTGTACAGCATTTCGAGTCATAATTGGTAGATTTATTTTGAAGAAGACTATTTATTTGTGAAGGAAATAGCTTTCTTATCTTTGATAAAAAAAATTTCGATTTTTATTTGTATAGTTAAACGGATGTATCTATCCCAATAATCTATAATACTTTGCAAGAACTCCAAATCATTTTCTTTAAACTTATCCTTTTAATTATAAAATGATACGCTTGCCTCGAAATGAACTAGACCAATAGTGACATTGGCACTAGACATTCCCAAAATGGGTACTATTGGATCGGGTGGATTCAATAATAGATGTCTGTTGGCATTCCCCTGATTTTTTTTTACCAAAATCATTGATGAAAGTTAAGAAACCAAGAATTTAAGTTGATAATGGCTTTTATCAAATCGATCTATTTTCTTCTCAAATGCTTTTTTGAATATTCCTCAATGCCCTGACTATTCACGGAACTTGAGATGCAAATGATTAGTGGGTAGGAGATAATTTCTAATGGACTAACATTGTTCTTTCTTGAACTACCATAAAATTCATGTTGATGGTTATGTCCAACTAATGAGATAGTACTTGCGAGAGTACCTCTATTACTTCATATTGACCTCAAATGAAAAAAGACTATATTACCTAACTTAGAATTCGAAGACTTGCCCCAGATTTGAACGGCTAAAATTTAATAATCTTGGACCTCTTCTTAGGTTGATCGTTAGACGACCTTGGGTCAGTAACCTTTGAGGGCAAGAGTTAAATATAAGTTATTTTAAACAATAAACAACCGAATGACGAATGACCGTAGAAGTCATTTAGGTGCAGGCAGTAAAGGAATGCGTATCCCAAAGCATGCATGCTTTCAGACACTTCTTTCGAGGAATTGACTCCGCTTAAAGTAAATGTACTTTTAATCAAATCAAAAGGAATTGCAGCTATATCGAAAGATTAAAGTGCTGAACGAGAATAATGTTTTACTCAAAAATAAAAATTGAGAAAATACTACATATGTAAATGACCTAAATTTGAATCAATGGAAGGATATGGCAAAAGGAGAGGATCATCAGAAAAAAAGAAAGTTAGGATTAGACTGGATAACAAATCTTGAAACAAATCTAATTAGAGGCCTGTTTTGAAATGGGCTTCCTAACGAACTCCATTAAATGTTTGGGCCACCCCATATTTGATACGATGTCGAGGCCCAATAAAGATTCCCCAACAGCCAGTCCTCCCTTCCGAAATCCCATGGGCTAGTATTTTCCTAGGCCCATCAGCTTATTACCGAGGATATTTTATGTACTGTTAATAGTTTTTGAAAAGAAAGTCTCGTAAGTACAAAAAAAATGTAATTTTGATAATCACTTTTAAACAAAAACTTAAGAGTACAACCAAACATGTTTGACTCTGTTGCACCTTTCACCTGTCCCTTCACACCGCATACCCAATTTGATGTATTTGGATAGGGGCCTTGACAGGCCCATGTGACGGGGCACCTATGTGGCGCCTCCTATTGGAGGGGGTGCTGGTCCCCAAGGCCCCTGCTTGTTTATCATTTTCCTTGATGATATTTGTAAGAAAATAAAGAATCTCAATAGATAAAGTAATTTTTACAAACGCATAAATTGTGCAATAATTTAGAGTATAACATGTATAATTTTATCTATTTACTTTTCTCTACTTGATAACACGACTTAATATGAGGCACGATATATTCCTTTAATAAAAAAAAAAAAAAAAACACAACCTCGGGGACTACAGCCCTGTCCAGTCCCCCCAAATCAGTCCCTGGGCTTGTTGCGTGATCAAATCCAATGCCGACAAGCTAATGAATACCGCATCAGAGAGTGGGAGGTTGGCCCCCAATCATCTGGCGATGTACATCCAGTCCTGATCTTGAACACAAGTTAAGCCACCAAAAGGTCAAATAAATTGTCTTGAGGAAACCACAGAACCTATGTCAATATGGAGGAAATGCAAAGAAAGACAATTCAAACTGTCAAGAACTCATAGTCTTCAATCCTATTCACCTCTTTTTCTTCGTCCATTTTCCATCTAAAAATTAAGAAAGAAGAAAAGAACAAACATACCCTTCATGGAATGGCTCCGAAGCCACATCAGAACCAGCCATAAATGAGCATCCACATGAAATCTATTCCGTGTACTAAAATTATTTGACGGTTGTGAACTCATTGTATCACAACATATTCCATATTCTCGTAAATTCCTTTACAATGTCAACAACATGAGGGGAAGTTAATTTGCCACTCATCTGGCATCATGTGAAGTAGGTTTACTTATTGGAGAGAGATCACAGTTTCAAATGCACCCACTAAGGCTTTAACCTTACTCTTCCTGCTTTCAACAAGCTTACTTGCTGTTTCTTCAATGACATTATTAAACAAACCTTGTGCATCTTTCTTCCCCTGCACATCTTGATGCTTTAAAACGACCTTCTCAGAAGAAGGATCTGCTTCATTTTTGTCATCATTGACCGTGCCATTTTTAAAAGTTTTCCTTCTCAAATCACCCTTGCCATCTTGGTATTCTACCAAGACCCTTCCCCTCCTAAATTTGAGTCTCCTAGGATTGTAATGATCAGATTTGAGGTCCACTACCTTCCCCCTCATGAACTTTAACTTCACAGGAGTACCGTCTCTATCTTCAGAACCAACTGCACTATTCTTCCTACGAACCTTAATGTGTTTCTCCTTCCCCAATTTCACTTCGCCAACTTCTGCAGTGTCATTTCTGTCAGAGATTATTTCATGTACTTCACTTTCATCGTATTCAGTCTCTCCTCCTCCTCCATGACACAACAAGGATGATGATTTTGCAAGTGACAAACAAGCAAGTGCTGATGGAGATGGATGTGATTGAATGACATGGCCATCTGTTCTGATAACATGCAAGGTTTTCTCAGGAATATTCTCATCACTTGATCTTTTAGTCTCAGGCTTGTGTATTCTATTTCGATCCTTCAAAGGAGACATCAGTTTTAAGCTTATGTCTTTTCTTGTTTTCAAGGGCATTGTTCTACAGAGGGAGAGTTTGGGGGACACACAAGCAGGCAGAGGAGTCAAAGCTTTCTTTACAGATGCTTTGGATGCCAATATCTTTCCTCCAGTTTTAACATCATTGTTTCTTCTTTGTATTCCATGAATACCATCTGAAGTGTTAGGGGAAGAGGATAGTCTCACTGTTACCGACTGAGAATGCTTGTCGGGCACGTTCTCTGTCTTCTCATTCTCCGGTACATTATTATCAATTGAGGAACCTTGTTTCGAAGTGACTTCAACTGTTTTAGAGGACAACACAGTTTCCCTCTTGATAATTTCCAAGGGATATGGTGAGGGCGTTTTCTTGGAAGATGACGGCTTGTGCCTTTGCATAGGGGTTATATTACCTGGTGAAGCCTTTTGCTCTGGGGAGTATCTTTGGGAATTCAAGGATGGCTTGGGCTTAGATATAAAGGATTTGGCAACTGGAGAAGACTTATTCTCTGGTAAATGGGATTTGTCACCTGATGAAGCCTTGTGATTAACAACTATTTTCTTCTTTTGTTCCCCTGGAATAGTTTTCTCTACAGAATTTTGCTCATTGAGTGGAGGTTTTGTTGTCCTCTTAGGTATATTACTCCTTTCCTTCACTTCGAATGCATGTTTCCTGCCATATTTACAGAAATCATGGCAAGAACCCGTGGATGCTCTGAGATAATGGGGAATTGATTCTTGATCATTGTTTGCAGAATCTAGTTTCTCGGTAGAAACTCTTCTAGAATTGTATCTAGCATCGTATGCTCCAATGGATGATCTACGTTGCTGGGAATAAATTTTGCCTCCATTGTATGAAGAACCTGATATTCCTGAAGAGATTTTGCCCATGTTTCTCACGTCTAATTCAATTTTTATGGAGTCACCATTGAACTGATACTTCCTTCAGCCATCAAAATGGAATATAAAAAGAACTTTTAATACCTAAAATCCTGAAAATAAAAGTTATATATAGTCAACCTATATAACACTCGTTTAATGAGGAGGAAAACGAAACTGAAGAAATACTCGTACCTTCTCTATTTCTTTCAGGCCCTTATCTCCTTTATTTATACATCTGCGGAAGGAAAAGCATTAAAAAGCAACGAATTGAATAAGGAATAATCAATAACTAATACCAGTGACTAAGAAAGCTGAATAATAAAAAAGAATCCACCTTTTCCATCTCTACGCTCTTATTTATTATTCTTTAGGCTTATAGAGATAGAGAGAGATCGTGCAAGCAACGCCTTGTAGTTCTGCAGTGTTCTGAGAGTTCCTATGAGGCTTTTTATGTGAGTTTACGCGTTTTTGTTGTTACAGAGTTTTCGGTAGAGGAGATAGAGCGACGGTTTATCTGCATGCGTGTGGGGAGAGAGAGAGAGAGAGAGAGAGAGAGGGGATTTATGGCTGTATTTCATAGCCCAAAATTTTTCATGAAAAATGGAAAGTAATTTCATTTTTTACTTTTGACTTGTTTGATAATCAAAATTTTTACATCAATTCATTTTCACATTTTCCTCGCATCACAATTTTCAGATTTTTGGGGAATTTATTTTCCCATGGGCTAAGTGGTTTTATGTTTTTCACTTATTTTTTCTTGTTTTTTTTTTGTTTTGCAATGTAAACAAATTCTAGGAACAATTGTAAAAGAGAATATCCATTAAATTGACAATTTTTATGTAAAATGAAGTCAAACGAATACCAAAATATATATATATTTTTGGATTTTTTTTTTATAATGGAAATAAATTATAAGAACAATTGTAGAAGCTGATATCCTTTAAATTAACAATTTTCATGAAAAACAAAGTCAAACGAACACCAAAAAATATTTTTATTGTAATGTTTTTAAGGTGGAAAATCATACCAATCAAATATTATTAATTGACAATTCCACTAAAACAAACTTTAGACAATTCAATTCCCTTCAATTCGTTTTCTTTCTACCAAAATTTCATATTTGCAATCAGACGGACCCTTATATTTATTTTCATACTTTTTTAGTCGGGTTTATTTAAAAAGACGGAAAGGATAGCTTGAAGCATATGAGGTGTCGGAGCTCTCTTTAAGCTTTTTGGAGTCCAACAAACTTCTCGATTAATGAATTTTGAAGAGATATAGTCGAAATAAAGATAAAAAGTTATTCTTTAAGATTTGCAAATTAAAAATCTTGTTCGATCATTGTCATGCCCTCGAATATTTTTCTAAATCTGTTATTCAACAAAATGTATTTTAAAAAACAAGATAAATAATATAGTTTCCACAAGATTCGTGATAAAAATAAATATTAATTAGATAGCTTTAAATATATGCATTTTGTCTAGTGTTTGGTAGGAAACATTTTACCACTAGTTGGACATTCAAGTCGTACATAATTGCTAAAAGAATTTTTGTATCTAAAGTTAAATTATTAATTTTAACCACACTTTCCATAGTATTCATAAGACTAATCAATAATCTATCACTCATTTCTATTAATTTATAATCTTCGCAAAAAATTGAAATCCAAGCAAAAGTTTAAACATGACATTACAGTGACAATAAAGGACAGCTTTGACTCTCCCGTTCAACCCCCTTCCCTCTCTATCTCAAGCGAACGCAATATGGGGTTGGTAGATGAGAGTTGTCAAGAGATGATGACTCTCCACCCAAATAGGAGTTGAATATCCACAACAAAGAAACAGGATAAAGAGAGGCATTTAGATTTTATTTTGATCTTTTAAAAGTTCCAGTCTCAAGGAAGGGTCTATTCTCACTCGAAGAAAAAGAGGCAAAAGTTATTCGCAATGTATTCCAGCCATTTTATCATCAGAACAAAATATCCAGGCCCAACAATTTTTTTTGATTACTTTTCTAAATCTGAGATGAGGCAGTGACATTTTACATCGGACGGGTTCGGAACATCTACTCAAAAGGCTAAAGAATTGCTTTCAAATACTAAAGCACCAAAAGATGAGAAACTTCTAAACTTGCATGGTAAGAGATTAACATAGGCATACAAAAGGATATTCAATAGATTTAGTTCAAGCCACAAGAAAACCATGATGATGTACAAATACAATCAAGCCCAACAAATATTCTTGTTAGAATTACCATTATACACAGAATAGCATTGATTGGCAGATGGTGCCAATTATGAAAAACACAAGCACCCAACCGGAAATATAGTAACCTAACAGAGACTTTTTGACACGGCGTAGAACAATCAAAGGGCTAAAGACATAAAGGAGTTCTTACAAGTGTTGTTACAGCGAAACCATGGCACAACGATGGATTCACAACTTAAAGAACTGCAAGTTTTGGTGGTGCAGCGGTGAAATCACAGGGCACCAGAAAATGCAAAGACATGGCACCTCATGTGATAATCTCCCTAACAAGCCAATCCAAGCTTGGATATGCAAAGTACAAAATGAGAAAAGATGGAAGTGCAAAGACAACTGTGATGAGTACATATAGGGCCAAGATGGCTGCACTGGCAGGTATGACATATAAAACGATGATGAGAAAAATTATGACCAGGGGGAACTTGGCTGTCAAGTGAACAAAGAAAACTAGGGATTTTGTGAGGGATGAATGCAATCTCTCAAAAGCAAAAGAACTATTGAACTGATTACCATTGTTATTTGATCCAGATCCCAAATGCTCAGAATGATGAGTACACTGACCCCTCCGGTGGTTAGAGTTCCCTGTACGGCTTCCGGGTGCTTTTGTGCTAGATGACCAAATGGCCTGATGATCCCCACACGTGGAAGAGTGAGATTTAACTCTGTCACCATTCATGCTCTCAAGCATCCAGAGAAGAAAGAAGTTCTTACGAGGAAATTTGAGGTTTCCCCTATACACCAGGCGGAGCGATAAGAAATTGCACCAGGGGCAAGATATAAAGAGTGGAAGCTGATAAGGTAAAGAAGGAAATTTCACAACAGCCCATTGTAGTCCCAGTATGCAGTTTTTACATAATGTATGACCACACCATAAGACAAAGGGTATGTTTTCGACAAGGTTAAAAGATTCCCAGCATATAGGGCATTCCAGTCCCTCCTCTCTGCTGCCGATGGAAGAAACTCCATCGTCTGAGCAATCCATTGAATCCTGTGTTGGCTTCAGAACATCATGCTTCAGGCCCATACTTCCAGCTATAAAATTGGATGCAAAATTCCACATGTTGTGACTAGCTGGAACCACTACAGAATGAACACTGCAAGTCTACACTGTAGACAACACCAGTTCCTGAGAGATCCAACCAGAAAAGAATTTAAAAGCTGTCATTGAAAGATGAATCTATAAAATATTGATGACAGATCAATTCGATTGAAACACTTATCTTCTTAAAAGTTTCTTTTAATTTCTACAGAGAATAAACATTGAAAGAGTAATTTAATAATACAATGGCGTAGCATATATTTAAGTTATAGAGCTAAGCATACATGATATTAGAGTAAATCAGAATGCTTCCAACCAAAATGATTGACTTCGATTTCAAGAACGATAGCATAGGGCAGCTCATGGACTATCCCACCAAGACTTTCTATTCTCCCAGAAGCCTCCAGCACAAGCGCAATAAAAAACTCAAGACTTTGTCTCTTATGATGTAGGTGTTGAATTTGCCAAAAGAAATGAAGGAGAATGAAGATTGAAACAAGAATCTTCAAATAAAGAATGAAAGAAGACCACAATCAAAAAGCTTGAACGTGCCGAATAAATGTTGTCCTGAAGCTTTATTTGCCTCCTCTCACCTTTGAGGTTGCTTAAAGGATAACACTGACAAATAGCTCCGAGAATTAATCAAGCCTTAATGAGTTAGTGACAAGCATATCAGCAAAAACTCTCAAAAGGACAAAGAACAAAATATAAAACTAGAATTTAGGGTTTGAAGTTGTTGGAAGATCAAAATCTTAATTTCTATACATTGTAGTAATGTGTTCCCCCACAAAGAGATGTGTTGTTTCACATTTAGGAATTCAGAAAATTGAATTTTCCGCAAGTTACAGGAGGTGCCGCTCGAGTTCCAGCTTCTCTTCTCTGCTCGAGCTCAGAGGCAGGATTTTCCTGCCTTTGCTTCTCATTTCAGCAAGAAGATACTGCAGCAAGGCTTTTTGCCTTGCTCACTTTTGATGACCTTCAATCTTTTCTCCAAAGCTCTAAACCATATTTCACATCCAAACATCCATGTACATCTTTTCTCCATATAATTGAATAACTTCAACTCCAATAGAAGGTCACAATGTATTATGCGACAATCTAACTAGAGGACGGAGACTCAAATTTACCAGCCAGTTGACCGTTATTAACAATTTAAATAATTTACATATGACATCGACTATGTCTATAAAAAGTAGTATATAAATTAGTGAACTCTATTAGTCCTTTATAATAATTTTTGTGAACATAGCAATGGATCTTTGTTAGAAATTAATTTTAATTTATTTGTCTTTTATTTGCATGCACGTTTGTAGTATTGACCTAATCTTTAGGAATAATTTTACTTAACTGCAGTTGAATAAATCATTGCGGATGAACTAGTCAATAAGGATAAGATATTTTCTCCAGATTTCACGCTGAATTCTATTGTACAAATGGCTATATAAAGCCCCCTTTGGTTGAATGAAAATCGCACCAACTCTTCTCCATTTACTCTCCTGTTCTTAATTGCAACAGCATATTATTGCTTTTCCAGCAGCAAACAATGGTATCAGAGCCATTGATGAGTGCTCTACACTCATAATATTTATGTTACCTAATTTGTTATTTTGTTACTCTTGAGAGTGTTTTAGAGCTTTTTATTGTGTGTTTTGATGTTGTGATGTAGATTGATGAAATTTAAAGAAATAAACAAAAGTTGGCGAAATTGAGGAAAATTGCTAAATTGTAAGAGATCCAAAGTTCGGGGACTAAAACGCAAATATTGAAAAGTTGTGTTGAACCTCACAATGAAGATCCGAACATGCTAGGAGTCAATTGGATGAAAAAAAATGTCAAAGGGATCAAATTTGATCAAACTATGATCACAAATCAATTTCCAATCGAAAAGTTGTGCTCTGGAATTTCAGCCTCACATTGAGACTCATTTTTGACATAGCAAACGATCGAAGCGGAGAATAATATCTGAAGAAAATTTGTGCCCCTTAGAGTTAGCTTTCTAACGAGTTTTGAATCACTTCAATTGGACATCGGACGAGAAAGTTATCCTAAAATTACTGAAAGACGCGCTGAAGGAATTTTCCACCCGAATCGGGTGCCGCCTATACGGGAAAACGTATTTTGATATTTTTGGATTTCTTTCTCGGCCCATTCCAATCCAAAATCGTCCAACACTTGAGAAGACTATAAATATTACCTAAAAGACCTAATTAAGAGGAGGAAAACGAGCAAGGAAAACTGGAAGCAGCCGGCAAGAACACGTGATGGGAAAGAGGAGTTTAGCCGGCCAATTGCAAAAATCTGGAGAAAAACCCACGATTGGTCAATACAATTAAAGAAGAGGAAGTTAATTGAGAAAATTTGACAACAATGGAAGAAGAAATCGAGCGGCAAAAACGAGTTTTTCTATTCCTTTTCTTCTCTATGTTCTTTCTTATTAATTTATTTATGTCAATTTTCTCAGTTATGAACTAAACAATTATTTTAGGGATAATGTAGCCTACTTGAGATATGTTTGGATTCCGTTATAATTATTTCAATTGATCTTTCCTTTTTATTTATTTATGTTATTTGTGCGCAATGCTTTCAATTAACTGGCCACTAATTTACTGATTTGATGTTCTAAGTTTTGGCGCTCGAGAGAGGCAAATTTAGGCGTGATCTAAGACAACATAACTTTGATTTCGTAGGTTTCGAGAGAAAGTGCGAATCTTTGAGGCTTATTTTAATTAAGAACCACGTGCTTAATAATTTTTATATTCTTAATTCAGAATAGAGATATTAAAATTAATATATAAAAATAAATTTTATTTGGCGCTCGAGAGAGGGAAATAGAATCATTTTAGCGTTTTTGCCCATAAATTTTGGAAAGATTGATAGAAATAGTTATACGGTTGAAAAATATTGTCGAATGTATGGTGAAATCATTCCCTAGGCATTCATAATTTGATAAGAAACTTCATAATTTGCCCTCGTTTACTTACATCGTTCATCCTATTTAATTTTAATTTAGCATAAAAACATTGACTCAAAATTTGGTCCTCTAAATAAAGGGAAAGCTAAAATAATTATAGTACTCAATTGATTTGAATATCAATCTTGTGAGTTCGACATCCTAACTTCTTTACCATATTATAAAACTTGACACCGTACACTTGCGGTTTAAAAATCACGTTGCATAAATCGCGTGGCAGCCATTCTTGGGAAAAATCTATCCACCCTTTCCAAGAATTTTAGTGCAAAAACATTCAAATTGTTTTGCATTGATTTGCTCATTATTGTGGAAACAAATTCAATCTGTTCACATTTTTACTTCTTGTCGGATATATAATTCCTCTAAAAATGGGTTATGCATCTGATTTGCAACCAGTTTTCGAGTAATTTTTTCATAACCTTGTATTGCAGGAGCATGCTAATGGAGAACTCCTTGAGGTCTACGGAGTACTGGCATGTTATTGAATCTGGTGTTGTAGCACTTGCTGTTGGAGTGGCACAAACAGAAGCACAAAAAACAGAGTTGGAAGGACTAAAGTCGAAAAACTTGAAGGCAAAAAATTACTTTTTCTAGGCCATTGATCGATCTATCCTGGAAACTATTCTTAGAAAAGAAACTTCCAAGGATATTTGGGATTCAATGAAGAAAAAATACCAAGGCTCTTCCAAAGTTAAGTGTGCACAGCTTCAAGCCTTAAGAAGGGATTTTGCAACTCTACAAATGAAGGATGGTATATATGTTACCAACTATTGTGCAAGGACCATGGGGATAGCCAACAAAATGAGATTCCATGGTGAGAAGATGGAAGATGTTGCCATTGTTGAAAAGATATTACGTTCTTTGACACCAAAGTTCGACTATGTTGCCTGTTCAATTGAAGAATACAAAGACATAGATGCAATGTCCCTTGATGAGCATCAAAGTTCCTTATTGGTCCATGAGCAAAAGATGAACAAAAATTTAGCAACAGATGAGCAACCTCTAAAGGCTTCCACCTTCACTCAATTCTCAAATTTTAGAGGAAGGGAAAGAGGTACAGGTAGAGGAAGAGGAGGTCGAGGTAATAGAGATGGCAGCAGACAATCTCAAAATTTTAAAGTTCATGATGATCAAGGCAAAGCTAGAGGACGTGGTCAGCACTTTGACAAATCCAAGGTAGAGTGCTACAAGTGCCATAGTTTTGGTCATTATTGTTCTGAATGTTATACAAAGCTACCTAACAATAAAGAAAAAGGGAGAGAAATCGAATTTTGTAGAAAATAAAGGAGTGGAAACTTTGTTGATGACGGTTCAAGTCAGTGAGGAACCTCAGTCAGATGTATGGTATGTAGATACAGGTTGCAGTAATCACATGTGTGGAAGTAAGTATTATTTTTCTTACTTAAATGAAGACTTTCATTCTACAGTAAGTTTTGGTGATTATTCCACTGTGAATGTAATGGGAGAAGGTGATATTAGTATAAGAACCAAGAACGGTTTTTTAGAGACAATTTCTAATGTTTTTTACGTTCATGATTTGAGCAATTTGTTAAGTGCTGGACAATTACAAGAAAAAGGTTATGTAATTACTATCAAGAATGGTGCGTGTCAGATATATGATCTTTCTAAGGGAGCCATTGCTATTGTTCAAATGAGTTCATACAGGTTGTTTCCGTTGAAGTTCGTAGGTGTGAACCTTCCTTTATGGTTGAAGTGAAAGATTCTTCATGGCTTTGATTTTTGCTATGGCCACTTGAATTTTGTTGGATTAAAGACCCTCCAACAAAAAAATATGGTAACGAGCCTTCCTCAAATTGACACATCTTCTAAAGTTTGTGAAGAATGTGTTGTTGGCAAACAACATCGTTCTCAATTTCCTCAAGGAAAGTCATGGAGAGCAAAATATGTTTTGGAGCTGGTTCATTCCGATATTTGTGGGCCGATAAAACCATCTTCTAATGGGGGTAAGAAATACCTAATTAACTTCGTTGATGATCAGAGTCGAAAAACTTGGGTTCAATTTTTACCCGAAAAATCAGAAGCTTTTAGTGCATTTAAAAGCTTCAAGGCACGTGTTGAAAATGAAACAGGAAAAACAATTAAAACTCTTTGTACTGATCGTGGTTGAGAATAATGCTCAAAGGAGTTTGAAAGTTTTTGTGATGCTCATGGTATTCGAAGAGAACTCACAGCTGTTTATACACCACACCAAAATGGTGTATCAGAGAGGAAAAATAGAACCATTCCCAACATGGTGAGAAGCTTGCTAGCAAGAGGGAGAATTCCGAAGAATTTTTAGCCGGAAGCTGTGAATTGGAGCATTCATATCCTGAAAGGAATCCTATTTTTGCAGTTCAAAACATGACACCAGAAGAGGCTTGGAGTGGGAGGAATCCAGCTGTAGATCACTTTAGAATTTTCGGTTGTATCGCATATGTACATGTCCCGGATGAGAAAAGGAAAAAGCTTGATGATAAGGGTGAAAAGTGTGTCTTTCTCGGCGTAAGTGAAACGTCCAAAGCATATAAATTGTTCAATCCAATGACAAAGAAGATTGTGACAAGTAGAGATGTGATTTTCGATGAGGAAAGCACTTGAAATTGGAATGGACAGCAACCTACTCAAGTCATTTTTGATAGTGAAATTGAAGAAGAAATGCAGAAACCCCTACAACAACAAATTCCAGTGGCTCCTATACCTGAAAATCCACCAAATGTAGCTCTAGCAAGTGCTGAAACTTCACCAACAGTAGCAGAAGCTACTGATGCAGCAATTGAATCCCATCTTCACCATATTTGAAAAAGGCCTGCATGGATGATAGACTATGAGGTAACTAGAATTGATCAAATTAAAATTCCAATCACATACTTTGCTTTATTTTTAGATTGTGACCCTACAACCTTCGAAAAAGTGCTGTCAAAGAATCAAAATGGCAAAAGGCAATGGATGATGAAATTGCAGCCATTGAAAGAAATGATACTTGGGAGTTATCGAATCTTCCAAAAGGGCATAAAACTATTGGTGTGAAGTGCATCTTCAAAACAAAACTAAAGGAGAATGGTAAAGTTGACAAGAATAAGGCGCGATTGGTGGCTAACGGATACAAGCAAGAGTATGGGGTTGACTATACGGAAGTTTTTGCTCCGATAGCAATACATGATACAATCAGATAGGTGATCGCATTGGCAGCACAACATTCATGGCCTATCTTCCAGTTGGATGTCAAATTGGCATTCTTGCATGGAAACTTAGAGGAACAGATATTTGTCGATCAACCTCCTGGTCATATTAAAATTGGAAATGAGCATAAGGTGTATAGATTAAAGAAAGCTCTTTATGGATTAAAACAAGTCCCACAAGCTTGGTATAGTCGCATTGAGGCTTATTTTTTAAAGGAAGGCTTTCAAGATGTCCATATGAGCACACACTTTTTGTTAAAGTTGGAAATGGAGGAAAAATGCTCATTGTCTGCTTATATGTAGATGAATTTATATTCACTGGAAATGACAGTTTCATGTTTGAAGAATTCAAGAAGTCCATGATGGTTGAATTTGAAATGTCTGATCTAGGTATGATGCATTACCTCCTTGGTATAGAAGTAGTGCAGACTACTAGTAGAATCTTTATTTGTCAAAAGAAGTATGTGCGAGAAATTTCAAACAGGTTTCACATGAAAGATTGCAACCCTGTAAACACTCCAACTGAGTTTGGCTTGAATTTAACCAGGGATCATGGAGGAAAAATAGTAGACAACACTCTCTATAAGCAAATTGTAGGGAGTTTGAGCATTCTGTAAGTCTAATCAGCAAATATATGGAGAATCCAACAACAATGCATTTGTTAGCTGCCAAATGAATCTTTCGTTACTTGCAAGGAACTAAAGATTTTGGATTGTTCTATAAGAAGGGTAAAAGATTGGACCTATTCGGATTTACTGACAGTGATTATGCAGGAGATCAAGATGATGGAAGAAGTATTTCAGGTTATGTTTTTATGCTAGGAACAGGTGCTGTTTCGTGGTCATCCAAGAAGAAACCAATTGTTACTTTGTCAACTATTGAAGATGGATTTGTTGCTGCAACAACTTGTGCTTGTCAAGCTATCTGGCTTAGGAAAATTCTTGAAGAGTTACATTTAAGCAAGAAGGATCTATCACAATTTTTTGTGACTCAACTATCAATCTTTCCAAAAATCCCGTACTAAATGGAAGAAGCAAGCATATTGATGTGAAGTATTATTTTTTAAGAGATCTCAGCAATGATGGAACAATTGATCTGAAGTACTGCAGAAGTGAAGATCAGTTGGCTGATATATTTACTAAACCTCTCAAATTTCTTCCCTTCCAAAATCTGAGAAGGTTATTGGGCATTTGCATCTTGGAGAATTCGGCTTGAAGATGGAGCTAAAAAAATAAACTGCAACTTAAAAGTGTACAGTTTAAAGGAGGGATTGTTAGAAATTAATTATAATTTATTTGTCTTTTTGTTAGATGCACGTTTGTAGTATTGACCTGGTCTTTAGGAATGATTTTAATTAACTGCAGTTGAATAAATCATTGTGGATGAACTAGCCAGTAGGGATAAGATATTTTTTCCAGATTTCATGCTGAATTCTGTTGTGCAAATGGTTATATAAAGCCCCCTTTGGTTGAATGAAAATCGCGCCAACTCTTCTCCATTAACTCTCCCGTTCTTAATTGCAGCAGCATATTATTATTTTTCCAGCAGCAAACAATCTTTTCCCATAATATACTATTCATTTGGTCATCATTTATTCACTCAAGTACACCCTCCAAATTAGCGAACTTCAACAATCTAAACTCCAAAATCGATTACTACAATAACTGCTATTACTGCAACAAGGAATACAAAATAAACATCCAAAAACTCAAATTTACGGCTAAAAGAGAAAAAGTACGAGAAACAAATCACTAATCCATTACATCACAGATTTACGATTAATTTCAAAACAAATAATGAAATTCGTGAGCGGTTTTACTTACAGAGTGATCGAGGCAAGATCGGAGGAAGCCGCAGAGAGAAGAGAGGAGAAGGAACGAAAGGACGTAAATGGCCCTGCGACTTTTTTCAATCTCACTATTCGCAGGCAGTGTTTGTGCTCCCGTGTGGCTGAGCTTTAACGTAGACCCAACCGTTAATTTGTAGGAGCGTCTGATCCGAGTGGTTGAATTTCCAATTGTACCCCTTGTCATTTTAGCATGTTTGGCCAAGCTTTAAAAAGTTTTGTTAAATTCTGAAACTTAATTCAAGAAAGTTGAAAGAAAAAGAATTACGAAATTGATTTCACGAGAAGCTGATCAAAGAGATGATGCACGATGATCGCATTATTAACTATTTCTATTTCTTTTAGATTTACTTAAGAAGAATTTAAGGATGATAACAAAGTGCATAGAAATTTTCGAGGGAATTTTATGATGAACTGATGTTATGGCACACATGAATTATAAGAGGACAAGCATGTACAAATTTTGAGGACGAAATAAGAGGGAAAAAAGTGAAATTTTTCCATTTGCTTAGAAAAACTATTTAAGAGGTAAATGATAATGACTAGAGGTTATAATTACCAAAATTGTAGAGTTTTGGGGTCAGTTTGTAGTTTTTTCAATTTTTTAGAAACTTAAATGCAAATGTGGAAAAATATGCCTTTAAAAAAAAAAAAAAAAAAAAGGTTAGATGCACTCTAGGTCACCCAACTTTTGAGGGCGGAGTTACACCTTGGCCACTCTTCCAAATCACCATTTTGTGGGTCTATTAGAACATGGGTCTCTCCCTTGGATGGAGCATCAAGTATGTGTGGGGGAAATGGGCTTCGAGCTTCTTTTTGTAGCTGTCTATTGAATAGAAGTCGATACCACTTCATTTTATTAAATATTCGTAGATTATTAGGACAAAATACAAAGACTTATTTTTGAGGTTTATGATAATTTCAAAGGTGCCTCGTCTTTTTATAAGAATTATATAAACATCTATTATTTCAAAATTTGATTAATAGATACTTTTCCTGAAGTTTATGAAAATTTCAAAGACATTATCCTTCAGGACGTATGTAGGGAGGACTAGGTTGGGCTGTAGTCCTCCCAAGGCCCAAGTATATATATATATATACACATACACGCACACAAATCTCCCTGATTAGATCATTGATTCTTCAAAAATACATCAACGTATACTCTGATTTGAGATAATAAAAATACATTTACAAATGACAATAACGAACATGGTCAGAATAATATTCTAATAAAAATACAATATGTCATTTGGCTATAAACCAACCATCTTATATAAAATATAACAAAATAAGGAGCGTGGCAGTTCATCTAAAGTCTATATAATTGAACAATCAAGAACTTCATTTTCTTTTCAACTCTGTTCATTACCACTATTATTTATTAAAAGTAAAAAAAAAAAAAAAAAAAACCCACTAAACTAAACTAAAGAAACCATGCGTTATTTGAAACTTGAGATGAAAACGGTTTGTATGATTTTTAAAAATAGATGTCTTGTCTCTACAATTGTCATAAATCGTAAGAAAGGATATGTTATTCAAAACCTTGAAAATAAGGGATGTTTATATAATTTCTAAAAAAGGGGGATGATGTTTCTGAAATTTTTAGGGACCTCGTGGGAGGTCTGTGTGATTTGCCTCACTTTCTTTTGATCTTGTTTCCTATTCTATTAATCTTTCTTGGGAACAATTGTTCGATGGTCAAATTTGTTGGGAATTTACTTAACATGTGTAACGGAGAATTAAAACAGATTTCGATTTTTACTAGAAATTTTTTTGTGTTTAAATAGAAATTATGAAAAAGATCGTACATTTTTCTAAATCTGCAAACCCTTTGCTTTTCTTGCATTCCAACGATCTTGATCTGCCAACCACGGCTGTCCAATTATCCAGCCTCCAATGGTAATCCACACTGAGAACAAAATTGCAAGATTAACGTTTTCTTCTTGTGCTAGCAAGAATAATGAATTCTCTACGAAATTGTAAACCTTAATCATTTATTTATATAAGTCCAAACGGGTTTGGCTTGACCCGGTGCAATATTTAATTAACCTATTAATTAAATTTGATCCGTGAATTAATTAATCTAATTAATTAATTCCGGTATATAAATAATCAACCTAATTAATTTATTTATTCAACGATTGTTAAATTAATTAATTCACAAATTGCAATCTTCTAATTCTCTTTTCTGTGTGACCCATCAGATTCTCGATCACGATATCTAACGACGTGAAATATTATTTTGATCTAATCAAAATTGATAAATTAAAACACCCTTTTAATTTATCACGAATTCACACTCGCTGTCCTAAATTGGCATCTAGCCATTTCTCAGGAAAATACATGTGATGGAAAATGTTACGTGGTATGACAAAACCAAACTCGTTCGTTTACCGTGAAACTATAATCCCTTCGTCAATATGATCCGATCAATTACTGTCAATCCCGATTATCGATCATATCTTTTATTCCACTATTAAGTCAATATAAGTCGAAAACTCATTTTCGACTTATGAGTACACCATGGCCAAGAATTTTGTTATCGACTTAATTGAATGAAACGCAGATCATAACCTCTTACTATTTAAGAGAGACGAATCCTCTATTGGTCATTCACAACCTTCATACGATTTTTGACATACCCGAACGATACCGTATTAGCGGCCCTTGGTAGAGCAACATCTAACACCGTCAAAGTATGATTGTTCTCATATAAGGTACCATGACGACCTCAAGTCAAATGACCAATTAAACTACTGAACGCTAGTTATAGTTATCCATTTGGAATCTCTCGGTGGGTCTCCAATATTTTATACTATAACAAAACATCAACGTGTTTATTCAAGTGTCACTACACTTTAACTTGTGAGATCAGCTACTTACTTCACAAGTAAGAAATGTCACACTTGATGGTCCATCCATAATAACGATATCCGTATCTCGTTATTACTTACGACCACGGACGATTTAAGATTCAATCACACGCAATTTGTATCTCACAATCACAACTCCTTGTGATTAACAAATTATGAAGATTTGAATTTACGGACTCTATTACTGTATATTAATTAAATAATAGATCTGCTATTAAATTGCATTCAATGTATATTAAAAGTATTTATGTCCAAAGTTAATTGGACCTAGGGTATAATACTTACAAACTCTCACTTGCACTAGATCCAATCACTTATGTATCTAATATCATAAGAGTCTACATGACGATCATGTTTATGCTACGACAACTCTTTGTCAGTGGATCTGAAATATTATCAAATGTGGGAATTCGTTCTTCTCTTTAGTCATTTCTATGTATTATTTTTCTAATGAGATTATACTGCCTCAATACATGTTTGAATCATTGATGAGACATTAGTTCCTTTGATTGTGCGATGGCTCTATTGTTATCACAATACAATGGCATGTGATCAACAATGTTAAAAACTATCCTAAGTTCATTAATGAACATCTTGATCCATATTGCAGCTCTTTGTTGCTTCTGAAACAATCATGTATTAGGTTTCTGCTATTGAATCAACGATTGCTTCACATTTGGAACATTTCCAACATACCGCTTAAGAGTAAACCAGTTTCTTCATATGAAATCTTGAGAAGATTTCATCTATGTAAATTGAGATGAGTTAAGCAATCTTCTAGATCTACCTCTATAGATCAAGTTGCTCTCCCATATCGTTCATGAATAAATCCTTTAACAACCATTATTTCAACAATTGAAACATATGGATGTCGTTTTATATAATATTATGAATATGATAATGCTCCCACCATCTTCTTGTAAACACACAATTCGTCTTCAAATTTGATAAAATCAAACATTTTAACTTTTCCATCAAATCGAAGATTTCAGCTCCAAGAAACTTCTCTTAACCCATAGTCACGGTATGCAACCGTTTTAAGCAAAACCCGAATGTATTTCAGCAATGCTACAGGAGAAAGGTTTCACCAAGGTCAACACTTAACTTTTGTTACTAGCCTTGCTTTGTATATATGGATATTCTCATCCATATCGACCTTTTCCTTGTAAACCATTTACAAAAACATATGGGTTTTATTCCATCAGGAGGGTTGACCAAGGTCTAAACCTTGTTTTTATACATTGAGTTTACTTTGGATTCCACTGCCCCATGCCATCTATTTGAGTCATCACTTGACTCTACTTTTGTGTAACTAGTAGGTTTATCATCCTTGATTAATAATACTTGATTAGTAATCGTGGATTCATACCTTCTTGAAGGTCGAATGATCCTACTAGATTTAAATGGAGCTGTCATATCTTCAGGAACTTCCTGATCAAGAGTATGTTCTACATCAGATATGGGACTAAACTCGGATTCATCTACTGGGTTAACTATATAGTTCAAGTCCGAACATGAAATTTATTTTAATGTTCCAGCTATGGTGGGCATAAAGCGACATTTCTCTAATTTCAATACCAAAACCAAAAGGCAATGGCAAGAAGTATATTCTTACAGGCAATGTAGCAATCTTTGTTCATCTTCAACGTGTAGGTCAACTTCTCCCTTTTACAGTGATCTACTTCTATTTGATTTCTCCATATTAGTATAAATATGAGATCCACATCCGGTATCAAATACCTAAGAAACTCATGAAGTATATGTAACCCTTGCAATAACTTCTATTGACCTTTCATTCTATAATGAAAATAATGGTCATTAGATTTGGTATTTGTCATTTGCTTTGATCGTCTTAGCCATATTGGATGCTTTCCCTAAAGTCCCCTTAGACTTCCTCTTAATGTCCTTAGAGGAATCAATGGCTTGCCAGTTCTAACTTTGATATTGGGCATAACGGGTCTAAGCATGTTAAGCAACTCAATGGGTGTGCATTCGAACCTATTCATTCATAATTAATAATTAGTATGAATAACTTTCTGACAGAAATTGCAGAGCTAAGTCAATACGTAGTTTGTAGTTCATGACTGAACCTCATTGAGACAACCTCTCAATGATAATCATCTTTAGTGCATGAGCACCGATCGAAGTTTGCTTTGTCATTTTGCACCGGTATAACTGTTTGGAAGTCTCATATCCTTTCACACACGATTACTATCAAACAACTCTTTGTAATGAAGATTTATG